AAGCTGTCCGAGCAACACAACACTGAAGTGAATGCCTACCCTTGGCGGGCAGTACTGGGTGGACGCGTGTTTCCACCGTCATAAAGCCCGCAATTCTCAAGACAAAGAGCGCTGGAATAGATGATGCCTGGATTGTTGTTTGACCAAACCTCATATGGGCGGCTCCCTTTTGCTTTCCCTGAAAAAAAAACACCAGCCAACAGTGGGTTCCCAAAAAATCAGACACACCCATATGGGTTCTCGGAACCGCCAAGATGGGTTGAGTCCTTTTCCATTCCTTTCAGCCATCGTTCTTTCTTTAAAAAAAAAAGAGAAACATTGTTCCCGGAAACTTCGGAGATTCTCATCCACGCAGGCACGGTTTTCTTGGTTCCAGAAACTCCCCACCCCAAATACCCTCTATTTTTAGGGTATGATGTCGACCCTCTACTGATAAAGAAGGTCTTTACCATGGAAACCCAGGTTTTTTCACAAAATACCCTAGAAAAAGTGGGTATTTGGAGCAAGTCCAAACTGGTACCCAGCCTCAAAAACGAACCTTCGCCGCAGCGGAGCCCTCGCGAGCGTTCCAAGCTTCGATCGAATTCCCGGCTCTCCGTGTTCGCGTCGGGTGGCTTATCGGAGAGCACGTTCTGAAGCGAGGAACGCTGTGGGAGAGAGAGATGATGCCAAAACGCGGAAAGCAGATACAGACTCCCCACTTATCTAGGGGTTGATTCCTTTTCCATTTTTTTCAACCATTGTTCTTTCCAAAACCGGGCCGTTTTCCCTCGGTTTCCGGAGGTTTTCTGGAATGGGGAAGGTACCCCTAGAACTTAAAGGGGCGATCGATTCGGTACGTCAGGTAGGTGGTAAGACAAGACTGGTTCTAACCCACTGAACGGAGACTTAAAACCATATGGCCTATGTGGGCTATAACCATAGGTTATTACCCACTTTCCTAAGTTATCCTTTTGTGGTTATTACCCACTCACACAGCACCCAGCCCCTTGGAAGCAGTTCAGTGGATCTCCAAAATCGGCACTCGTTCTTTGGTTGAGTTGAACAGTTCCCCCGACAAAAAAGTGGAACAAGGGCAGAGGTGTGCAAATCCCGGAAACCGGAAATGGGTCTTTGTTGGTTGTATCTTAATATGGGGGTGTCAATAGAAAGGGGGCCCACGAAATTGTGGGGTTCCTCTTGCTTTCTCTTTCAGCCCAAACCAAAGGGTGCCCTTTGAACAAATCAGGAAAAAGATCAGCTTCCCTCCAATTGGTGGTTTGGAGCCCGGTGGCTTGGTGGTTGGGGCTGGTTTTCTCTCGACGAGCACCAGGGGTGCAAATCCCCAAACCACCAATCCAAGCCACCAATTCAGGGCTACCTGAAAATATGGGCTTGTCTTCTTGGAGGGTCAAGGAGCAAAACAACCAAACGTTTGGGGGCCTCCCTATTTTAAGACAAAGCCAGCTGATCACTAGGCTTGGGCAGGAAAGCACAGGCTTCCGGGCCTCACCCCCCAAGGAGGAAAAGGTTCTGACACCTTCCTGCAAGCGATTCTGAAAGAGTTCGGAGAAACTTTCGGGGGTGTGGCAACATCATATGACGACAAATCAAACGTCGCATATGACACGCCACTAGAACACGACATGTTCCTCCAGCAAATGGGGAGGTCAGATGACTGTGACAAGAACGTTGATTTAGTGTGAGGTATAACCAAAACCTGGTGGAAGAGAAGGAAAAGAGTACCATCTCAACGACATAAACAAACTCAGTTGAGATCCCACGTTTGCGTGCCTGTCTCCGTGCAGCAGTGTAGATCATTTGAGATACCTTTTCAGGGCCGGAAGAACTAGACTGGGGTTGTGGGTTAATTATGAGTTAAAACCAAGTTCACTAATTACTGAGTAGCCAGTTTGTATTATTCTCTCTCCTCACATCGGCTCACCCATCAAAAGGACCGTTCGGCACTCCTCGCATCGGCCGAACACACCGGCGGAGCTCGAGCGCGATGAAAACGCGTCGAGAGCGTGCTTCGCCAGAAGTTTCTATTTTAGCCGTCTCCGAGAAAAGTGGATCTCAACAAATGTCCAGAAAGAATGCGTCTCCACAAAGAAAGAATGTCTGCCAAATCATCCAGAAAGTGTCTCCACAAAGAATGTCCGTCCAAACAAATGGCTAAATGGAAGCACTGACCCAGACCTGCGGTTTGCCCCTCCAATCGTTTCATTTTGAGCCACACCCAAATGCGTACTCATTTTTTGGGAAAGTTGTTCCCCGTGGCTTGACACTCTGCCGAGGGCCCGCAAGGCGGCAGAAAAATGGCTGACCATAGGTGTCCTTTTAGGGCAAATAGATGGGTTTCCCTGGTAGATGATTAAACCACCAGGTAAACCAGGGCCATGAATTTGTTCTACCAAATCAACCAAAAAGGACACCTACATGGCTGACAAAACCAAAACAAATCCAGGCGCCGGACATGATCCTTTTCCGGGACACCTCCGGTGGGTCCCCGATTTGAACCCTTAATGAATTCCCTTGGGTTTGTCTCAAATGGGGGCGGGGGGCCTCAAAATTAGTGGGGTACCATTTGTTTCCCATGAAAAACCATCCCAACAAAACAAAAAAAAGAATCTCCGGTAGTTGTAGCTAAAATATGTCCACTTTCTGCGCTCGATTCCCTTTAAAACCGGGGAAAATGGATCATATTCTCCAGGTCCTCCAGTAGAGAGAGTAGAATAAGTTGGTACCATTTTTTTCTATTTTGTCTATTTTAGTCGGGGAACCCTCCCAACCAAAAAATTTGGGAGAGAAGGACACCAAGCTGGGGGACCTAGTATTCTTCTCAGCAGATTGCCAATGCCATGGAGCCCAATGCAGGTTTCCCAGGGTTCGGTTCCCCACGCAGCAAACACAAGGAGAAGAGGAACCTCAAAGAAACACGGCTGTGGTTTGGCATGTTTGTTCAAGGCAAAGGGAGTCATGAAGGGGTGACCATGTATGACACAACAGGTAGATCATGGGGGGGCTGACAGTATATATACAAGGCTAGCTCCAAACCCCGAATCGGAACTGGTGAGTGTGTTCTTCTTTCTTTCCTTCTTTTGTTGGGGGTAGAGTATGTAGAGAATGTCTGTGGCTGGTTGGAGCCGGCAAATGCACGCCAAAGCCGAATTCGGAACTCGCAGCTTTCTGTACAACAGCGTCGCCCTGCGCTTTTCGGACTGCTGGGAGATCTTGTCCCAGCCAGCCCATTCTCGCTTGGTCAACGTTCAACCCAGGATTAGCTTTGCGCGGATTATAATGGAAACCCAACCACTAAACCCTAAAAAGCTGAAAGCCTAAGAGGATGGCTGGGAACCGCCAAGGCTTTCTTCATGAGTTTAACCAAGGGCAAAGATGTCAGATGGCGCCAGACGTTGACCCAGAAAGCGCCAAGCTCAGGGCGACAGCAAGATCATGCCAGAGACCGTCTCAAACGCGCGTTGTGCGCCGGCCACTTGCCAAAAGCAATGTAGAAACCCTGCAGCGCGGAAGGGCCTGGTCGAACTGAATTACAATGTTTCTTATTTGTTAGTGACATCCAAATGGGAAGGGGTCCAATGTCTGAGGGCACCCCAAACAAATTGCTTGGTTTTGATTTCTTCTAGGGGATGATTCCCCATTCTTTCAACCATCGTTCTGTTCAAAAACCGGCCGTGTTCCCTGGGTTTCCAGGGGTTTTCTAGAAAGATTCGAATCCCTGGAAAGAATGGGCAAGGTAGCACTAGAATGTTGACTGACCTCAGTTGCCCCTTAGGGACCCAGAAGTAAAAAGGTGATCCCTTTTGGGACAAAATGGACCCAAACGGGGAAACCAAAAGATCAAAGGTCGAATCGCTTTGGGCAGGTGAGCGACTTTATGAAATCATCCAAAGTGGCCACAGCATTTTCTTTACAACTTCAATTCCAGACACCAAGAATCCCCAAGGGAGCCTTCGTCGTGCGCAGCGGTTGTGCCCACCGGCAGAAAAGTGTCTTCGACCTAGAAAGGACAACAGGAGTAAAGGGGATCAATTTTGAATACGAAGCTGGTGTCATTTCTGTTTTGCGCTCGTGCGCCTTTGTTTGAAGAAAACCGAGTGGGCGTGTCAGCTCCTATGGTTAAATACACTCACTTCCTGAGTCGCTGGCTAAAAAAAAACACAAACTTTTTGTTTACCACTAAAATGGTATACCCAACAAGTACAAAGTCCATGAACTCAGGAAGTGAGTTATACATGTGCATCCTGTTCGCTTATTCTTAGGGAAAGGAAAGTAAAGGTTCCAACCCCAAGCCAAATGAGGCAAACATTGATCGCCAATCCCCACTCCACGCACGCCTTGGGCTGTTGGACACAGCAGGCGATGTTTTCAAGGACTCTGTCATGCACCTCTACCTCAGCTTTCGCCCACACACTCTTGACCACACAAAAGGGTAGTTCCACGCGGGTTCGTATTTTTTGCTGGTACCCTTTTTTGTGGCGGGCTTTCAAGGGAAGCCAATATTTGGGTGTCGTGTGTTTTTGGGTTGGACCCCCAAAATGGGTGGCTTAAAACTCAACCAAAAGGGGACTCCCTAAAACATGACACAACCATTTGCAAAAGGGAGGAGATAGGACGTGGCTGGGAACCGAGGTGCGTGCAGGTGTAAACTTCGACCCCCGCAGCGTTTTGCTGGGGAGATTCGGGATACCGCAGCCGAACCCCGCAAGGGAAAGCGGAAGCAACACGGGTGAGTCATAATCAAAACCTGGAATTAAAATGGTCTACCCAGAACCATGTGAAGAATTAAGAAGGCGGCCGCAGCTGTTTATGGTTGGGATTTTCCCTTACTAACCTTCACTTACCCGGGTTTTGCTTGTGAAGAGACTCATCGGCGACCAAATGACCGTTCCCCCCCAAATAGAACCTGCCCTGGCGAGTTGGGTTGGGCTGTTGGGTTGTTTGTTGGAAAAGGCGGTTGGGTTGTTGGGTGGTTGGGGTGACCCCCAAACACACTGGAGTGTCTCCTCTTGCCTCCGCTAAAAAAACAACGACGCCACAGAAGTAATATAAACCGCCGGTCCCCGGAGGGTACGGAAGCGGTGGCTCGCCGGCTCGCCCGCGCCGGAGGCTCGAGCTGAGCTCTCATTGGTGGAGCCTCGGCTTTGCGAAGTGGGAAGGAGACTCCAGGAGTTCACCCGACCTTCAAAAACATCTGTCTCTCAGGGGACCTCCCGGGCCCCGCGCTGGGGCTTGCTTTTACCCTTCAAAACACAACGCTTTCAAGAGCGTCCCCTAGAAAAAGAAGGACCCATCTCCATGTCGAAAGGTGGTCTTGATCCCACTCAAGGACGAAATCCAGAGAACTCATGCACTAGTTGGTGGTTTGTCAATTAACAATTTGTTTCAGTTGGTTATGTTTGGACAATATGTTGGCAATATGTTGGCAATATGTGGTTTTATCCATCCCAACCGATGCGAAATAGGGAAGTTGCTCAGTTGCCCTGTGATACAAGCAAAGGCGCTCACCTTGGCGGGCCTAAAACTGCAAGAGCTGCCAAGGCAATGAGAAACGGAGTCTGAGCCCCGAGAAAAACCGAATCCCAACTGGTGGTGTCCCTTCAGAGAATCCCGCTTTTCTTCATTCCTAAACCTTGGGGGGGGGGGGGGCACCAGGAAACTTGCCAGGTGCTCAGCAGGGAATGACCCCCGAGAGAAACCATGGATTGATTCAGACCACTTGACAGGCTTCCCCCACCCAACGGGCTGGGTTCTAGATGCAAAGTGACTCAGGAACTCAACTCCTTGAGCTGTGGTTTCCAGCAAGGAATGGGGATCCGTACCTTCAGAAAAAATATCGGACTGCCCCCAGGGTCATGACCCCAGCCATTGGAGAACCTGGACCCAGGGGCCAGGTGTGAGGGCCCCAAAGCAATCGAGACCCTGAAGCCGCTGAAGGGGAAGCACGCCGAACTTGCGGCCAAACTTACCAAAGGCCGTAAGCCCTAACCTTGGTTCACGTTGCAAGGGGAGCAAAAATAATAAATAATAATAATAATAATAATAATAATAATAATAATAATAATAATAATAATAATAATCATAATAATACTAATAATAATAATAATAATAATAGCAGTTAAGTGGGGATTTCCCCAGAAAACCACAATAAGCAACAATGCAAAATGCTTCCCAATAACAAGCATGTAACTGGCGGCTGCAGGGGGTCTGTGCAAAGCGCGCGTTGGTCCATGACGGAGTTTTGCAGTATGGCGGTCCCTTGCATTTGCTTGTATTCTTGGTATTGCTTTGAACTCCAAGTTTCCGTGAGAAAGAATCCGGTCGCAACCCCTAGAAAGTGTCTGGAAGGTTACCAAACTTACGTTCCTCCTCACACAAGGAAACGAGCGTTTGTTTTTTGGTTTGGCCCTGGCAATAAAACACAGCAACTTGGGTGTCCGGGTTTTCTTCGATCCAAAAGAAAACCTCCACCATTTTGGGGGGCTTACCTAGACAAACCCTTGGTATTTGTTTAAAGGGCCCTGTAAGTTACGGAGACGCTTCTTTTGGGTGGTAGGGGCAGACTTCCCGAAACGGGTTCTCTACCCCCCCCTCCCCTCCCCCCCTCCCCCCCCCTCCCTCCCTCCCTCCCTCCCTCCCTCCCTCCCCTCCCCCCCCCCCTCCCCCCCCCCCCTCCCCCCCCCCCCCTACCTCCCCGGAACGGGATTTCAAAAAGAGAAGCCGCACCGACGACTCCGACGAAACGCAGCTGCGACGCCGCTCGAAACCTCGAATCCGCGGGGCTCTTCGCTTCCGCGCAGGCGCCGGGGAGAAGGTGGCTTCGCCGGCTCCAACGGCTCCTCGGTGGGCCGCTTTTTCTACGCCCTCCGTTCTACCGGCCATGGTTAGTTGTTGGTCGGCCCGGGGGTGTTGGTTGGTTGGTTGGGTTGGGGTTGGTTGGGTTGGATTGGGTTGGATTGGGCTGTGGGTTGGGTTGGGCTGGTTGGCTGGGCTCTGGGTGTGGTTGGTTGGTTGGTTGGTTGGTTGGTTGGTTGGTTGGCTGGCTGGCTGGCTGGCTGTCTGGCTGGCTGGCTGGCTGGCTGGCTGGCTGGCTGGCTGGTTGGTTGGTTGGTTGGTTGGTTGGTTCGTTGGTTCATTGTTTGCTCTTTGGAGGGTCTCCAGGCAAACTCGCCACAGGCAGGTGCTCTTTCAACAAAGTGGCTTCGGGCGCTGTTCGTTCTTCGAACTCCACACCTGTTTTTGGACCTCCACTCTACCTTTCTCAGATGGTTTGTGGCTTAGCTAAATGATTTATACCCCTAGTAAGTGGGACCATTTAGCGCACTTCCAGACCATCCAAGTTGGTTTACCAACTACATTTGATTTCCTTGTGCTTGTGGGTAGGGAAGCCACCCCGCTCCAAACCAAACCGCCAATTTGAGGGCAGCTGAGCTTACCCAAACAAACCATCGGTCGAAACAAAAGGCGAACGGGTCTCTGTCTAACAGGCCATGCCCACCTAGACTCTCCATGACCCTTGAAAAATGGGGTCATGACCCCTTTGTTTTGGGCAATGACCAACCATTTTTCCAGGGTCATGGAGAGTCCAGGCACATTTAACGAGCTACAAACAGCTTTTCCCCACCAAACAACCTCTTTTTCAATTGTCTCCAGTTCGCCGCGCCCTAGTCGGACTGTTCGAACGTCGCAACGAATGAAACCGCCGTTGCAATTGGTCTCGTTTGTTTCTGTCAAACTCTTGGCAGGCGAGCAGAAACTCCGGGCGCCCACCCAAAACAGACAAAACTAACGAGCTAAAAAAAAGACACGTCCATTTGCTGAAGCCCCTGGAAAATCATAAAGATATGTCCAGTCGTGCTTAGTGATAGATTCTGTTAAATAAACCAACAGGGCAAAGCATGTATATTCTTACCCCAACACGGAACAGGGGTCCCTTTAAAAGGACAATGGTCCAGACCAGGACCCCCGAAACGTCGAACGGTGCCATGTCAGAATTGCTGGGAGGGTAAGCAAATGAATGTCCAGTAGTGATTGGTCATAGATGCCCTTTAAAACCAACAGGGGAAAATCAACAAATGCAGATGGACGGGATCAATTTCTGCAAATTTTACCATATGCCCAACACCTGAAATAAGAATTGGATCCCCAAGCAAAGGATCTAAAGGATCTTTACCGAGGTGAGCTCGCTTCAACCCCCGAATCGGTGAGCTTGCTATACCTAGACTCTCCATGACCCTTGAAAAATGGGGTCATGACCCCTTTCTTTTGGGCAATGACCCCATTTTTTAAGGGTCATGGAGAGTTCAGGTAGAACCGCCAAAGTGTTTTCCCCAACAGCTGAAAGCTTTGGGGTCTCAGCCTAGATAGGCTCCGTGGTGGTTCGGGGCGGCCCTGAGGTAAGGTTCCACGAGGGTTCCACGAGGGTTCCACCAGGGTTCCACGAGGTTCTGCGGGGGCTGCGGGGTGGTGCGAGCGCTAAAAAGAGCACCGGTTGGGGATATCACCTGAGCTTATTTGGGAAAAAACAACAATTTCTGGACCGCCAATTTCTTTTCAGCTTCGAAAACGATCGATTCCAAACGGAAACCAAAATGCGTTTGACGGGAAAAAGGTGGTTTGATGGAGTGAGAAAACACCAAACCACCCAACGATCGTTTTGGAAAAAATGCGTTTGAGGGGAAAATGGTTTCTAGGTCCTCCAGTAGAGAGGTTCGAATAAGGGTACCCTTTTTTCCGTAGCCTATTTTAGTAGGGAAACCCTCCCCCCCAAAAAGTTGGTAAAAAGGGCACCGATTTCTCCGGGCAAATCGGTCGGCAAATCGGTCGCCAAATCGGCCTGCGGTTTGGTCTGCGCGGCTTTCAGCTCCGCGAGGGCCAGCACCGCCGCCTTTCAGGAGGCGAGATCGAGCCCTGAGTTCGTTTGAGCACCAAAATCTCGGTTGCTTTCTGCGAAGCCCTGCTAAAAGTGACTCACTTTTAGTGGTTTAGTACGGAAAACCCGTTAGTTGGCAAAAAGTTAAAGTCCTAACAGCCAAGCAAAATGCACCAAAGAAGAAAGGGCCGACCATACCTCGGGGTTAGGGGGGAGGAAAAGAGGGGGGAGGGAGCCCAACATCCCCAAAATAAGGCCATATTAGGGGCTTAAAATGGGCATATATCGGCTCCCTCCCCCTCCCTTCCTCCCCCTGCGCTCTCCTTCTGACCCTTTTAAAATGGGTCCATGACCCCCCTGATTGTGGGGCATGACGCCATTTTGGAGGCTCACGGTCACTCATAGTGGTAAGATTGATGGGGTTTGCTGGTACGTGGGGCAAAAAGCCCATCTAAACCAATGGAACCCATCTATTCCTACTAACCAATTTCTGGAAGCCAAACCATCATAAGGTTACCCCAGACTTTCATCAACCCCGGTTTATTAACAGGGGGTGGGGGCAGTCTTCACCTTGTATCTGAGCTATTGGGCTCACTTGCCCAAAGAACCTGGAAAATACAAGGTGATCACATGTCCAGTGATAGATTCCCTTAAAAACCAACAGGGGAACATTAACAAGACAACTGAACGCACGTGGACAAAATTACTCTTGTCATACCAGGCTCACCTGCTCCATGTGGTTGACGTGAGCATCAATTGGAGCCATTTTTGAGAATTCGAAAGGGTCCAAAAAGGTGCTCTCTAGTAATCACGTCTGAACCGGGTCACAAAGTCATCACTAAAAAGCGGGAAAATACTGAGCGAAAGTACTCCAACCAAACTGCTTCGTCCGCTTTGGTTGAGAGCAATCATCGACAGCTGCTGTGGTTAGCACTTACTCCAGAGAATGGACCTTTTGGTCAAGAATAGGATCAGCCCAAGGGCGCCTCAAGACAAGGCGAGCACCCAACAAGCAAAATGTGCAGAACAAGTTTCCTCACGAGCATCCCACGACTTGGGCTTCAGAAGCAAATTTTGGGCTACCCCTGACACGTTCTCCGGCACCTTGTGTTCAACGAGGCTAGAAAACAAGAGAGACATCCGCCCAAAAACGATCAAGTTTTTTGTTCAACTGAAATCCAGGAGAAAAAAAGAGAGAGAAACAAAAAACAAACAAAAAAAACGATGCTCCGCGCTGTGCACCTCCCAATCTCCCCCCCCCTCCGGTGACTTCCGCTGCTCCGCTGCGTCGCGCTCCTCTGGGGCGCTCTTCGCCGCCATCTTCGCGGAGCCACCGGAGCTCACCACCTGGGCATCGCATCCAAGGCTGGGGGGAAGCTTTTGGGCTGCTTGGATCTTGGGACTTACCCCTTAAAACTCCAAGCCCTGGGGAAGTTAATCTTTTACAGACAGATAGCCCATGTTACCCAAAAAGTTGAAAAGTCGTGTTTTTAAGAGGTAAGGGGACTTTAACCTTTGGGGAAACAGGGTCAAGATTGGATCATTCCCTTGGATTTTCCATGGGACCATTTTGGGACTTTGACCTTTTGCGGGATTTCGCATATGGCAGCTCACCCGCAAAGGAGAGACTCGCAGGGGCCCAGGCGGTTGACTTGGTTGCCTTCTGCGAAGCCCTGCTAAAAGTGACCAACTTTTAGTGGTTTAATACGGAAAACCCATTAGTTGGCAAAAAATTGAAGTCCTAACATCCAAGCAAAATGCACCAAAGTTGATACTGTGGATGGTTGCGAATCCAGAAATCGCAACACCTACGAAACCCTGGCATGCTGATTCCCGCTTTCTTTCTTTTTTACCACCAACAGTGGTTTCCGATGGTTTCAAAGTGGTGCGAAGGGATTTCGTCCATCCTAAAGCCGAAAGGGAGTTAACCGTGGGTGGACCAAATCCGTTCGCACCACGAAATGAAACCATGGGAGAAACCACTGTTTGTTGGCACATTTACATGGGAATCAGGTGGTGCAGGAGTTCGTCCATCCACGGTATGAAGTATGGATATGGGTATGTCGTGCTTTTCTTAATAGGGACCCTCAAAAATGGAGCAGTGGTTTTCCTCTGACTCTGGGGTTCCCATTTAAAGCCACCAGAAAAAGGGGTGCTGAACCTCAAAAAATAGAACATCGAGCCTCCCATATCAGCCTGCCGGACGGGAACAAACAACCATGCCCATGCCCATGTCCCCTAGGATTCAAACCACTCACACCATGAGGCTTGTACAACCACCAACGTTTAACCTCTTCCCAACACGCATGTGTGACTATGGTATGCATTGGATGTATTGTATGTATTGAACGTATGCATGTATCAATGAATGACTTTATGAAGATACATGTATATGGTGTGCATAAGGCTATGTATGTATGTGTGTCTGTATGTATGTATGTATGTATGTTTGTATGTATGTATGTATGTATGTATGTATGTATGTATGTATGTATGTATGTATGTATGTATGTATGTATGTATGTATGTATGTATGTATGTATGTATGTATGTATGTATGTATGTATGTATGTATGTATGTATGTATGTATGTATGTATGTATGTATGTATGTATGTATGTATGTATGTATGTATGTATGTATGTATGTATGTATGTATGTATGTATATGTATGTATGTATGTATGTATGTATGTATGTATGTATGTATGTATGTATGTATGTATGTATGTATGTATGTATGTATGTATGTATGTATGTATGTATGTATGTATGTATGTATGTATGTATGTATGTATGTATGTATGTATGTATGTATGTATGTATGTATGTATGTATGTATGTATGTATGTATGTATGTATGTATGTATGTATGTAATGTATGTATGTATGTATGTATGTATGTAATGTAATGTAATGTAATGTAATGTAATGTAATGTAATGTAATGTATGTATGTAATGTAATGTAATGTATGTAATGTATGTATGTATGTATGTATGTATGTATGTATGTATGTATGTATGTATGTATGTATGTATGTATGTATGTATGTATGTATGTATGTATGTATGTATGTATGTATGTATGTATGTATGTATGTATGTATGTATGTATGTATGTATGTATGTATGTATGTATGTATGTATGTATGTATGTATGTATGTATGTATGTATGTATGTATGTATGTATGTATGTATGTATGTATGTATGTATGTATGTATGTATGTATGTATGTATGTATGTATGTATGTATGTATGTATGTATGTATGTATGTATGTATGTATGTATGTATGTATGTATGTATGTATGTATGTATGTATGTATGTATGTATGTATGTATGTATGTATGTATGTATGTATGTATGTATGTATGTATGTATGTATGTATGTATGTATGTATGTATGTATGTATGTATGTATGTATGTATGTATGTATGTATGTATGTATGTATGTATGTATGTATGTAATGTATGTAATGTATGTATGTATGTAATGTAATGTAATGTAATGTAATGTAATGTATGTAATGTAATGTAATGTAATGTAATGTAATGTAATGTAATGTAATGTAATGTAATGTAATGTAATGTAATGTAATGTAATGTAATGTAATGTAATGGTCTGTAATGTAATGTAATGTAATGTAATGTAATGTAAGGTAAGGTAATGTAATGTAATGTATGTATATATACCTATGGTCAACTCCAGGGCCCACCTCAGCGTCGTCTTTGTGTTGCATAATTATGTCTCCTTGTATGGGTCAAACACACGGCTAAAAAAGAATCCCGGGATTCAAGCATGTGTTGTGCTCAGGACATATGCATATTTTATATATATATAATATTTAAGCATATGAGTCACAATCAAACCCGGTATTAAAATGGTCTACCCAGAACCATGTAAAGAATTAAGCAGGCGGCCGCAGCTATTTATGGTTGGGATTGTCCCTTACTAACCTTCATCTATATACCCGGGTTATCTACCCGAATCGGTTTTGATTGTGGCTCATTGGACTATAAATGGTTCCATGTCTTTGTTTAGAAGGTGCCTTGGTTGAAAAGGAATACCGAAAGTAATCCCCATAAAAGCCGGGTGGGACCATGCTTGACCTCCAACCTGGCCCGACCCTTCGATCCAAATGGGTTTTCTAAACATGGATTTGGGTTGGTCCGTAAAGTGAAAGCAACAAAATTGGATTCATGCCCACCACTTTGCGGTGACTCATAAATGGGGTTCTCATGTTTTTTGTCTTTGGTCCCCAATTTTGGGGGAGTCCCTATAAAACTCCATTCAGAAAACCGCTTCTCTTTTCTTGTTGGGCGGGTCAAATCCTGCAAAAAGGATCCGAGCCACCCCCGAACATTGCTTTCCTGCATATTCCGTCACCCCAACAAGTTGGTTACCCGCACCCGCACACAGTGGACTCCAGGCAAAGTATAGTAGGTATATAGCCCTTCGATCCATGTTCCGTTGGTTTGTAAAGGGTGGCAAGCCCATAGTTGCCCAATCTAGCGGGAAATGGAATCACTGGTATCCAAACCTGGGCCGTCAGATCTGCTAACAGTGAAAATCACTTGTACTCGGACATCCAAACCACTAAATCAGCTTCCCTCCGATTTTACTGGTTTGCCCGGTGGTTTGGTGGTGAAACGGAGGGGTTTCCCATTCATCCTCTCCAACCGGGGGTTCAAATCCAAACCACCGGGATCCAAACCAAGGCCGGGCTGCCTTGAGACCCACCCGGCACCAGCACCACTTCGCTGCATCCACTTGGGCGTGGCTCAAAATTCAAGAGCTGGGGTTACGCAGGTTTCAGTCTTTGGTTCCATGTACCAAGGGGGCCATTTTGGTACGTCTATTTGAGCCACAGCCACGTAAAACGCCTCCATTGCGTCCTAAAGCCCCAATCAGGGGTTACCTGACCAAACCAACGAAGAAAGATCCAACCCCCCCCCAAAAAAAAACACGACCCGCACCGGAGGCTTCGCTAGCAGCGAAACCCAGGCCCCGGCCTCGAAGATGCTGCAGGAGGCAGAGATGGGAGTGATGGCGCCGCCCCACTTCTTGGCATCCCCACCTAAGTCCCAGCCATTGAGGCACAAAGGGCTCTGCCGAAAGCATCTACATGAATACGGCTGTGGCTCAAAAGACCGGAATGCCAAAATGGGGAACCCGATCGGTAAGTGGAAACATGGACCAAAACCTGCGGTTTGCCCCTGCTGTTTAATTTTGAGCCACATACATACAGTAAATCATCACTCCTTCTCAAAGGGGTATCTAGAGCACTTTCACCCTGACTAGGGGTGAAAAGGTCAGGGTTTGTTCCTTCCATATTGACCTTCGACTTACCTTTTCTTGCGAAAACGGTAGAGAATGAGACATGGAATGACAAAACAATTCTTTTTGGGCCATCCACTATGAGAAACTCGTGGACAAACCAGCCTTTTGGTCCCTTTGTTGGGATTCCCTAGTGGACGGGCGAAATCCGATATCGCGCTTGGATGTGCAACGTGAGGTAAGTGGTCAGTAAGCCTGGTTTTAACCCACTTATCATGGTTGTAAGTCTCTGTTCAGTGGGTTATTACCATCTTACTCATCACTGACCTGACGTATCCGATCGCCCCTTTAAGTAGGTTGTCCCACCATAGTGGGAACAACCCCAGTTGCCCGAGCTATAAGCATCCCCAAGCATCCGTGGCGGCAGTCCAAATCTTCATTGGAAGGTTTTGGAGCTCAATACGAGTTGCCTTCTTGAGGTCCCAGGATTCTTAGGGATGGTGAGCACTCCTACCACACGAAGCGGCAACTGACATTAAAAAAAACAAAAAACCTGAGGTGCTCAAAACCCCATCAGGTCATGGCAAGTCCCGGAGCCAGCGGATCCCCATTTGATCCATTCTCCTGTTGGCGTTGTTCGATTGGGTGGCAAGCCCTGGGTTACCTAGACTGGTACATTGAATCACTGGGCGTTGTTTACTCTTGAAAGCAACTCAAGGTCATGGCACGTGCTATTGGGTCACCCCGCAATTTTTCAGATCTAAGTTCCCACCACAGAAACATACTGTGCATGGTCGAAATCCTGCACCACCTACGAAACCCTGCTGATTCCCGTGTTTCTTTTTTTTTTACCAAGCAACAGTGGTTTCAACCATGGTTTCACTTCGTCGTGCGATTTCGGTTCGGGGATTTCGCAACCATCCACAGAGCCCAACACGTTGCTTCATCACAAGCCCCGGAGCCGAACATCCCCCGGCCACATCCCCGGCCCCAAGGCCGTAGACCCCTAAGGCTTTGGAGGCTCGGAGCTGAGGCGCCGGGAGCGTCCAATTCCAGCTGGAAAGCGACGCGAGTTCCCAGCAGTCACCCCCCCCTCCCCAGAGTCCACTAGGGATGGCCAAACGCTCAAACTAGGGTGTTGCGGGGTACCTCTAAAACCACGTTTCGTCGTGATTAGGGTAAATTTGCGAGTCTTCTGCTTTTGTTATGGAAGCTCCAAACAAAAGATGCCCCGTGACTGGGACTTCTTTTGAAGAATTGCTCGTCTCTTAGTTCTTCAATGTGAAATGTACAAGCGGTGTGTGTTCACCTTCTACACGATTTTAAACACACCCACCGAGGCACAACCAGCACCACCAAAACACAACCACCAAGCCACTGGGACATCACCGCCGCGCCCCCCCCCTTTTGCCCAGTGAACTTTCAAACTTTTTTGGTCAAACCCTTGGAGACAATAAGTACGTTAGTGTTCGAGGGAAACCCTTCCGGAGAGATAGGGCGAAATTTAGTGGGCCCGAGAAATCGCTTCATGGTTGCCCGCAGTCACAGAGAGGCTGACTTGAATTTGATTGGGGTTTGCTGATCACGTATCTATCTCCCCAGACCTTCGCAGGAATGTCGGAACGAGCAAACATGGGACCAGGACATTCAGGGACCTACTGTGGATGGTTGCGAGATCCATTTCGCACCTCCTTTCAGAAACCCTGGCATTACAGATACGAACAAACAATGGTTTCAACCATGGTTTCACTTCGTGACGGATTTGGTTCACCCACAGTAGCTTTTGGCTGGGGAAAAAAGAAACAGGCCGATGGAGGTTGGATGCAAGGCCTGGCTAGGGATTGTGCAGAACCCGGAACCCATGTCCTGGCCTTCAAAAGCACGCCCAGACCCTAGTAAAGCAGGGTCGCTGGATTTCCTCTTCAAAAGTTGCAATTTACTGCTGGGTTCCCTGAAACCGCCACTCTTGTAGATCCAAAAAAGAGGAAATCAAGGGTTTCCGGGTCAGCGGTTGCCCGTTTTTGGGTGCCTCCCCTACTCTCCGTGAGATCGCGAATTGGATCTCCGGTCCCTTCCAAAAGCACAAAAACCACGCCTTCCGACTCCTCACTTGCTGAGTGGATGGCCCAAAAAAAGTCCGAACTTTATATTTACCACTAGAAGGGTCCAAACCCAAAAAGTTTAAAGTTCATGAACTCGGGAACTTCCCGCTCCCACCCGCCGAAGAAACGGAAAGCTCGCTCCCTCGTGGCTTGAGCTCAAGGGGCTGTAGTGGAAGACGTACCACCCCGGCTCCACCTTGCGGCTTTCACGAAAAATTCACGAAATTCTCGCATTCAAGGAGGAAGCTGAGACGAGTAGCGGCGAAATCTGCGAAGCCCGGCGAACAGTGACACACTTTTAGCGGTTTAATAAGGAAAACCCATGCGTTGGCGAAAAAAGTTAATGTCCTGACATCCAAACAGAATGCACTCAAGTGATATACGGCTGCCTCGTCTTTCTTTGGCGGAGACCTTTCTTGGAAAGGAAACCAATAAGACAATTCACCATTTTTAGTGATTTCCCCGGTTTTTGAGACAGACCCATATCTAGTAAAAAGTTGTCCACATGTGGTTCCCAGCCCAAATCCCTCATAAAAGTCTCACTTTTAGTGGTTTAATGGACGCTACCACACAACCCCAACCTGAACACTGAAAAACCTAAAAGGATGCTTGGGAACCACCAAGAAAAGTTCCCCATAGTCCATAGCTGTCGCAATTCCAGACAGGCCGAAATTACGATCCAATGGTATTCGAGGTGTTTTTCAGGCAGGGGGAGACACCTGTCGACTCTATAGCTTCCTTCCCACCGCTATTGCTTAGTATTGCAAACTTTATGATGCATCGTGTTCAATACTGCGGATTGACGAAATCCTGCACCACTTTGAAATCGTGGTTGAAACCATTGTTGCTTGGTATTTACAGGGGAATCGAATCATTCCAGGGTTTCTTGAGAAGCTGCCATTTGCTTAACTCCCCCGGGAAAAAACACAATATGTCCAGTACTGGTAGATTTCCCTTTGAAAACAAACTGGGAAAAATACAACATATTCTTAAGCAAACGGAAGGAAGAGCACTCGTAGCTAAATCGTCAATCATTATTCATGTCCACAAAGAAAACCAGCAGCTGATGACTGCTGAATTTTCCCGACCCCTATCTGGCCCGCTAACAACTTTCTTGAAAAGGTCAACTTTTAGGCTTCCGCATCCTGGCCGCCAACATTGCCGAACGAATTGTTCGAGCACTTTTGGCTGGTTGAACAGGAAAATGTTGAAGCTTCGGAAGAGGATGCGGACGGGACCTGGAAATAAGAGTGTCACCTTCTGTGTCCTCTACATATGGACCAAAACAGGAAGACCAAAAGGTCAGTTCAGGTCGATTCGCTTTGGGCAACTGAGCTCGTCAGTCAAGCCATTGATAAGCTCCGGCGAATCGAAGCGAGGAGTCCGCCGCTTATGGCGCAATCAGGGCCCTCAAGCAATCAGGTCTTGAGACCCAGGCTGTCCAAAGTGAGGGTCTTCTACGGAGAACCAAGCGGTAATATCTTGGTTGACGTTGGAAGGCGAGCAAAAAAATAAATTTTAGCAGTTAAGTGGAGATGTCCCACTAAACCACAACAAGCAAAAATGTAAAATGTTTCCCAACAACAACCATGATATTGGCTTTGGATAATATTTACCGGAAAAGGGCGATAAGCAAGCCTCATTGCACAACCATGAGCAAACCCATGCGAGGAAATCCAAAAGCCAACATGTGTGGTGTCCAACCCGACCCATTTTGACACGTACTGATTTGGGGGCATGCACATGTTTTCTTGGTTGTTGTTTCTGACAAAAAGCTTAACTTGATGTCGGTCCAATGGAACACCCATTGTTTCAACATACAAGTTAAGGTCCAAAGATCCATTCCCAAAGAGCCATAAAGTTGTATTCCGGAAACATGCCGTAAAATGGCCTTCAACACACATCGAATAACAAAAAAAAGACCCCGTCGGGTGGTTTGCCATACCAAAACCAGTCCCCTACTGTGGATGGACGAAATCCTGCACCACTTGGAACCCATGGGAAACCGCTGTTTGTTGGCAGCTACAGGGGAATCATCCTTTCCTTGGTTGACGTTGGAAGGGGAGCAAATACTCAAATTTTAGCAGTTAAGTGGGGGATTTCCCACTAAACAACAATGAGTAAAAATGCAAGAGATGTTTCCCAACAACCACCATGTTTCAGGGTTTGCTACGTGGTGCGAACTGGATTTCGCAACCATCCACACTATTTGGAGCAACACCCCAAATCTCCTGCTTCAGGCCCTCGACCCGGCGAGGCAAGTTGCCTCCGCTGGGATGGTCCAGTCCAGCGTCACCAGGCTCGCAGAGATGCCTTCGCGCTTCCAGCCGAACCTCGTGGTTTCGAAAACGACGGCTTCGCGTGGGGTGGTCGGGTGGTTGGTTGGTTAGTTGGTTGGTTTGGTTGGTTGGTTGGTTGGTTGGCTGGCTGGCTGGCTGGCTGGCTGGTTGGTTGGTTGGTTGGTTGGTTGATTTTAATGGATGGATGGATGGATGGATGGATGGATGGATGGATGGATGGATGGATGGATGGATGGATGGATGGATGGATGGATGGATGGATGGATGGATGGATGGATGGATGGATGGATGGATGGATGATTCTCACTTCCGATCGAGTGGGTTGACCAAACACAAAGACATGCACCTTTTGGTTTACCACGGATATGGTCCACTGAAATGGGATAAACTCAAGTGCGTAAGTCCAAGAAGTGATGGTTTAAGAAGGTTTCGTGGGAGGAATTTAGACATTTTGAACTGTGGCACACACCGGTGCATGTACGCCTAAATCCGATTGCGCGAGCACTCAACGATCTGAACATGAATTTCATTAGGGACCCTTTGGACATCATGTAGGGGGTTTATGTCCGCCAACCGCTCAGGGGGTTCCGGCTCAAAAATCATAGCCATCTGGCTCATGTCGTCGACGACGGCAAGGAAAGTTGAAATCGTCTGGCTGCCCTGGAGCCAATGGTTGGGGGAGGTCATGATTACCAAGTGTGTGTGTGTGTGTGTGCGTCTCAAAATGGTGCTTCGACGACCTTTGGGTCGGCTAGGAGAAACGTAAAGATCAGGAGAGAAAAAAAAGAAAAGAAGAAAAAAACGTATCTACCATTTTTGCTTGGGGTGGTTATAACTTGGGCAACTGGGTTTGGTCCCAAATGGTGAGATAATCTACTTACCTCATGTTGGTTGAACATCCAGGTAGGGAATGGGTTTCGCTGGCTCGCCTGGTGTCCCAGTCGTTGTCATCCGCGTAGAGCAGCCACTTGCCCGCGTTGGCATTGCCATCGCCTAACGCCCACAGGCTCCCAAAGAATATCAGCAGGGAGTTGGATCGAGTAAGGGTCAAGACTAAACCGCCAGAAAACCGCGGGGATTTTATTCCATGGTTCCATCCAGGGCAAGCCATTTTGGGTTTTCACCAGGCAACTGGTCGCGTTATCCTGACACGGAAGGCTCGGAGCTTGAACCCGCAGGTCGGTGTCAGACCACCGAGTTTGCTGTGGGAGTTTCTAGCGGAGAAGCCAACTCTTTTGGTAAGGGCAACCAAAGGAGACCAAGCATTTGAAGGGAGCATTTGGAGAAACCGGTGGACAGTTCAAGGGGCGATCGGACGCTAAAAGGGATACATATGTTGGGCAACCCTCCTGCAGGTTTTACCGCTTGTTTTCCCGTCTCAACCCTCCAATTAGTTGGGTGGCAAGATCTACTTCTGACGCCCCCCTCCATTCTTGATTCAAATTGTACCTGGAGTCTCCATGACACTTAACAATCGGGGTCGTGACCCGAATCTTTCTTTCGGGTGACCAACCATTTTTTAAAAATTGTCAGATTCGGAGAGTCTAGGTACCTAGACTCTCCACGACCCTTACAAAATGGTTGGTCATTACCCAAAATAAAGATTCGGGTCAACTGGGCCCATTTTTCAAGGGGTCAGATTCGGAGAGTCCAGGTAGAGCCTTTCCTTCCGTTCCCAAGGACGAAGACCAGGTCTTGGGTTGCATCTTCCGGAGCCCAACGGCTCCAGCTTGGTAATTACTCTTCCGCTCGGTGCGGTTGTCCTCGTATAAACCTCTGGCACCAAAAATGGAGAGTCTAGGTACATTGTACCCCCTACTCCAAACCCTTTTTTTAAAGGTATGATGTCGACCCTCTACTAAAAAAGAAGGTATTTACCATGGAAACCCGATATTGATGGCTTCCTCGAGTTTGGAGCAGATCCACCTAGCCAGAGGTCTCAGACCGCTTTTCCGAGAGGCCATTCGCCGCGAGTCGCCCCAAGGAACTCTAGAAAACGGAGCCCGGAGCCTGCGTTTTTTTTTTTTTTCTTACCTGTGCTTGCCCCTGCTGGTCCTTGTTTAGTCTTTGAGTAATCTTTTCATACTCTTTTAATATCCTATAGGGCAGTCTATTAACAGCACCGCCCTCTCCATGTGATCGTAAATCATTTCGCCCCCGTAAATCTTTCGCCTCTCCTTCGTTTCATGCGCTAGCCGCCAACAAACGGACGAACCAAAACGTGCAAACTCTATCTCTCGCTCTCACTCTCTCTCTCTCTCTCTCTCGTTGTTTCAATTGGTGGTTTGGATTGGTGGCTGAGATTTGGATTTGAATGGGAAACAAACCACCCCCGGTTTTCAGCACCAACCGATTCAGCTAAAGGGGTAGGGTGAACAAAGACTCTGAGGCCGCGAGGCTCGAGTTGGCACTTCAGATTGCTGGCCTCGCCCAGTCTCAAGTGTTCAGTCTGCAGCCCCCGGCCCCAAACGCCCCGTTTTACTGGCAAAGCACAGTAAAAAGAAGAAGATCAAAAGTGGAACGCGTCGCCGAGAAGTCGCACGCTTCGCCCAACTGCGGTTTTCAAGGCCAAAGTAAAGGGAGTCAATTGGAAGGGAAAGGAAGTGCCAAGCCCAGGGGCTGAGTGTGAGGCAACAAGTGAGTTTGATGTCTCTGCTACAGGGATCCGGATGCATAAAACACCGATCGAACATTGCAACTTCTAAATGGTGGTGTCCAACTTTATTTTGGTGTTGAACAAGCAACATGTTTCAACTGGTTGCAAAACGGAGATCCTTTAAGGCGCCCTGTGCTAGATGGCCACATTCCCTCAAGTTCCCCTTTAGACAGCTCCAGTGTTCTTAGGTGACCATGGGCTTGCCACCCTACCAAAAAAAGGCGACCATGGCGCATCTGGCTTAGCGGGTTAAGCGTGGGAATTCGGTTTCCGAGTCGCGTGGGACTCCTGAAAACTGGGGATTTGGCTTTTGGATGCCATGAAGAGCAGCTTGTAAGGCAGCTTATACCCCTCAAGTGGCTTTGTCTCAAAGGAGGACAAATTGCTTGGGACTCTCCAAAATTGCGGGCCTTCCCTTTGATGTTCTTTTAAAGCTCTCCCACAAAGGATACCCTCAAAACAAGAGAACAACCGACCCAAGTGGTGTGACCAGCGCCAGTTGTTGGCCTCGTAGGCGACCCCCAATCCTGTGGTTTGCCTTTTGGGCGTCCCTTGAAAACAGCCAAAAGGGCTGTACCCACCAAAAACACACACAGCCAGGGTGGTACACCCGACTGTCTGGGACTCTTTATTCGTCAAGCGCCCAACATGAATCTTACAAAAGACGTCGGCATGTGAGCAACACCCTGAGGGGAGGGGGGGTGGCGGTCCCCCAAGTTCATTTATCTAGCATTCCCCATAAGAGGAACTGTTCAACTAGGTGTAGAGAGGTTGGAATAGGCACCAACTTTTTTCAGGATGTCTATGTTAGTAGGGGAACCCTCCCAACCAAAAAAAGTTGGTAGAGAAGGGCACCTACTGGAAAACCTAGCAAAAGATTCGACTCACAAAAAAAAACGGAGAAAAAAAAGCAGGGACCCCAGGCTGGCGTTGATGGGCTGCCACCGGTACACGGTAAAGAAGCTGCTGCCGCCTAAAAGGCGGTCGAAGCGGTCGAAGCGGTCGAAAGAAATGGGGTCGGTCAAAGCGTTTCGGGGGTATTGGGCACCCAGGATTCTAGGGATTGATTCCTTCAACCATTCTTTTCAGCCATCGTTCTTCTCAGAAACCGATCGCCATTTCTTCCAGGGTTTTGGTGGTCTTCTAGAAAGAAGGATCCCTGGAAAGAATGGGGAAGTTACCCCTAGAAGGATCAAGTTACTGAGCCATCTTTACAGGTTGTCAGCGTCCACATTCCCCTTGGCTACATTTCCAATGAGGTTATCCCTAAATGTCCCCTTGGCTATGTTGGCCATACGTCACTGGCATTGTCTTATTTGTCAGCGTCCACGTCTGGAATCGGACTGAATAAGGCTGAAAGGTCTGCGATCCTTTTTGTCGAAGGCCTTTAAGTTGGACAAATGCGCGAGTGGACACAGGGCAAGTCCGCATTCCCCTTGGCTCGGTTGGCCTTACATTACTGGCATTTGAATTTCCACTTCAAACACGTCGAACATGAGCCAACGGCTTTGGTGAAACCAAACCTTTGCTAAGCGAGGTACTCCAAAAGAACATAAATTGTCGCTTCCAGGAGACCCCAAAAACAGCAGCTTAACAACAGGGGGCGACCCAAAGGCGGGTTGAACGCCACAGGTTGCACGAACTCAAATGAACCCAATGCTTAAAACCGTGTGGCCTTATCTTGCCAAAGCGATAGGCAGGGAATGAGAAATGGAATCATCCCAAGAAAAACCATCCAACTGGCGGTTTCCTGTAAGGGGACCCTCAGGGTTCATTCCCTCAGCTGTGCACCAGCAAGTAAGAAAGGGTTCACACCTTGAGCAACCCTTTGGAGTTCCCTAAACCTAAACCATAAACTTATAAAACAAAAAACTAAACCATCCCTAAACCGTGCCTTGCTCCCAAACCTGAGCACCAGCAGGGGGTAGCACCTTGAGCTACCCTGAGTTGAAGGAAAACTCCAATGTCAGGTTCCCTCGAACAGGTTTGGAGCCTGGAGCTTGGCTTCCCATTTGCCATCTCAAGAACCGGGGTTCAAATCCAACCAATCCGAAACACCAATCAACCTAGAAAAAACATATCCTTAAGCAACTGGAAGTTAAGGGTTACCTGAAAAATGGGTGGCCCCACTGCAAAGGCACAGCTTGCCAAGGCGCGCTTGAGATTGTTCCGGGGGTGCGCCCCCCACAAAATGCACCGCAGCGTCTCCTCGGCGGGTTCGGCCGACAAATCGAGCGAGCGCAAAGTCGAACAAAAAATGGAGAGGGGGGCAGCCGACGAACCGTTGAATCCAAAACGCTGGAGCCAAACTAACACACCCCGAAAGAGGGAAGGGGGGAAGGGGGGGGGGGTCCTAGAAAAAGTTCTATGAGAAGCCCCTGAAAATAGAAGTTCCTTCTGACGGACGAAATCCATTTCGCACCACGAAATGAACCATGGTTGAAACCATTGTTTGTTTGATATCACGGGAGAATCAGCATTCCAGGGTTTCTTAGGTGGTGTGGGTTTTTTTACTTACAGTAGTTTCTTTCTGCAAGTTGAGAATTGTCCTAAGAGTTGCATTTTGATAATACCCTGGTTTTGCCTTGGGGGGTGGTTTGGGGTAGTGGAAAACAGCTGCAACGTATTTTTGCCGCTCAGAGCATCACGTTGGGCCCCCCACAATAGATCTGCTACACGTTTGGTCCCTGTATTTCCCAAAAAGGTGGCTCAAAACTACCACCTTGCCCCCTACACAAATAGAATGTCTGATTCTACCAGAACAAAAGTGAAACTTGAAAATCAAAGTCATGTCAAAAGCGATCCCTGAACATTTGATCAAACTTAGACCCCCTGCAAAAAGTTAAACCTTCTTCTGGTTGAAAGACAAATGAAGGAAACCCACAAAAGCAAAAAGTCAAAAAGGCGAGCTAAGTCTAGAAATCCGGTCAACCCCCTTTGGCAAACCCTTGCGGGGCACGTCCTTTTAGGTCGGAAAGCTGCTCGGGCTCTCCCAATCAACCCGGCACCACTGTGTGTCCTTTTGAGCCGGGAAGTTTGGGGCGGCCCCAAAATCTAAAGTATGTCACAGGGTCGCGAATGGTACTGAAGAAAAGAAAAGAACGCCGCGGTACTGCAGAAAAAAAAGAGAACGCCACATCAACCGCATCGGGATGTGTTTCCAGTCCGCAGATCAGTTCTTCTGAGAGGTTAGAGGTTGACCAGGCAAATCGTCCCTCACATCAATCTGAAGGAAAATTGCCCCCGTATACAAATTAGAAAGGGGGCACTGAAACCATACCTTCCATTTGCGTCAGCCTAGGAAACAATGAGAAAATATGTCCAGTAGTCATAGATTCCCTTCAATCCCAACAGGGACAAAAGCAAAGTATTCCGAAAACCAAATGGCTGTGGCTCAAAAACATGTTCCAAAATGGTGCCTTTGTATCTGGAACCAGAAACTAAAACCTGCGGTCTAGCACTTTCATTTTGAGCCACCCCCAAATTGAACATACCTGACATCTCCTTACCCCTTAAAACTCCAAGCCCTGGGGAAGTTAATCCTTTACAGACAGATAGCCCATGTTACCCAAAAAGCTTTGAAAAGTTGTGTTTTTAAGAGGTAAGTCTCCATGTCAAGCGGGCACATCGAGGCCCCCCGCGCCGGCGGAGTGCGCGCCGCCGGCCACGTCCTGCTTGATGTCCCCGAAGCTGGCCACATCGCTCGAAAGACCGAATTTCGGAGCCGTCAGAAGCTAGGTCTCACTGGCCGAGTGGATGGCCCAAAAAAAGTCTAAACTTTATATGTACCACTAACTTCTGGGTTTCTTGGAGGTTAAGTAAACAGGGCCAAAAGAAACCAGAGAAGACTGAAGGAGACGAAAGGAAACAGCGCCAATTTTGGTACCCTTCTACCCTCGGTGGCAAAATCTGCGAACTCACTTTTAGTGGTTTAGTACGGAAAATATCCATGAGTTGGCGAAAAAAGTTGAAGTCCTAACAGCCAAGCAAAATGCACCAAAGTTTTGGAACCTTGGAGGTTAAGTAAAGACCAAAGGGAAACCAAAAGGTCAAAAGCTCGGCCTCTCGCTACCCTGAAAGGAGCGGGTGGCGGTCCCCCAAGTTCATTTATCTAGCATTCACCATAAGAGGAACTGAACCAAACTTGGTCCTCCAGCAGAGATCTTACAAGAACCCACCCGAAGAAACCACCAGAGGCTTAACCCTACAGCCACGCGCTTGTCTTGTTTGACTAGGTCCTCCAGTAGACAGCTTAGAATAAGTTGGTACCCACTTTGTTCTCTAGTCTATTTTAGTAGGGGAACCCTCCCAACCAAAGAAACTGGTAAAAGGGCACCTAGCTAGGGGACCTAGGAAGTTAAAAGTGACTCACTTGTAGTGGGAAAAATCGGAAAACCAACCACTAAACCACCTGACGTTAAACACAGTAAGTATACCAAACCTTCCAAAGACCCGGACAAACTAGGTTGGTGGAAAGATCCTGCTTTCCTCCCAGGTCTTTCTACTTTACACTTTTCGGCACTCCAAGAGCAATTGCGGGTACCATGCCGCTGGGACCATACACGTTTCTTGGATGTCCGGGATGGGCAAAAAACCGAAAACCATAACTTGTTCAGGTTCCGTTCAGTGGGTTACCCAATCAAGGTTACTACGCACTTCCTGAGTGGATTGACCAAAACACAAACCAAACTGTTTACGTGCCACTGAAATTGTATTCCCACCAAGTATAGAGCGGATTGCTCTGGCCCGGCCCAGGGCGCAACCACAACAAAGGACCTCATCTTCGAGAAGAGTTCTTCAGATTCAAGCCATGATCACAGGGAGAAATATCCCACCTCTGCCACCAAGTCCAGAAACCCAGGAAGTGAGACTAACCACTTGGCTAAATCGCAGCTCTCGCAATGTATCTTTAAAAAATAAAAATAACAATAAAAATAAAATAAAAAACATATTCTTGAAAAACAGTTATTCCAAATTTTGCAATATTTCCAAGTTCCCTCGCAACTGATCTGTGCCATGGCTTTAAAAGGTTGTGCCCCCGAATCGGTGAGCTCACCATAGAAATTATGCAGCCTTCATGTGCCAAGCCACATGTCCAACCACTTGGCTTGGCTTTCCAACGACTCCCGCCTCCCGCCGATGGGGGGATCGTCCACCAGCACATCCGTCTGGCCCTCCATAAGCTGATCCTGGGCCCCGTCGAATGCAGCGACAGAGACAAAGCAAAAAGGGGGGGGGAAGAAGTTCCAGCTCCCCCTGCATCCCCTGCATCCACCACACCCCCTGCATCCCCTGCATCCACCACACCCCCTGCATCCCCTGCATCCGCTGCGTCCCCTGCATCCACCGCACTCCCTGCATCCCCTGCATCCCCTGCATCCCCTGCATCCACTGCATGCACTCCCCTGCATCCCCTGCATCCCCTGCATCAATTGCTCATCCACTGCATCCCCTGCATCCACTGCATCCCCTGCATCCACCGCACCCCCTGCATCCACTGCATGCCTGCCTGCTTCGCCAACTCACCCAAGACCTAAGTTCCTTTGTTTACCTTTCAAATTCGGAGGAAAAAAACATATGCCCGATAAACATGATTTACAATTGATGCAGGGGATGCAGGGGGTGTGGTGGATGCAGGGGATGCAGGGGGTGCGGTGGATGCAGGGGACGCAATTGACAGGGGGTGCGGTGGATGCAGGGGACGCAATTGATGCGGTGGATGCAGGGGACGCAATTGATGCAGGGGATGCAGGAGATGCAATTGATGCAGGGGATGCAGGGGATGCAGGGAGGGATGCAAGGGATGCAGGGAGGGATGCAAGGGATGCAAGGGATGCAAGGGATGCAAGGGATGCAAGGGATGCAAGGGATGCAAGGGATGCAAGGGATGCAAGGGATGCAAGGGATGCAAGGGATGCAAGGGATGCAAGGGATGCAAGGGATGCAAGGGATGCAAGGGATGCAAGGGCATGCAAGGGATGCAAGGGAGGGATGCAAGGGATGCAAGGGATGCAAGGGATGCAAGGGATGCAAGGGATGCAAGGGATGCAAGGGATGCAAGGGATGCAAGGGATGCAAGGGATGCAAGGGATGCAAGGGATGCAAGGGATGCAAGGGATGCATATATGCAAAATATGCAAAATATGCAAAATATGCAACATATGCAACATATGCAAAATATGCAAAATATGCAAAATATGCAAAATGGATGCAGGAGGCAGGGGGTGCAGTGGATGCAGGGGATACAATGGATGCAGGGCGCATGTGGATGCAGTGGATGGCAGGAATTGCATGCTGCGGATGCACGGCCATCACCAAAGAACTATGGCGAAGGGCAAGAATGCCAACCAAGGTCAAAGAGGGTCCAATCGCCCAAAACACGCATGGAACGCCGCACCAGGTGGTAAACCAAAAGGAACCCGAAGGAAATCGATCCAGACGGGCTGTGAGAAGAACTGCGGGCAAAGTCGACCATCCACAGTCACTCACAAACCGATATCTAGGTTTTCCAGTGGAGAGGTTAGAATAAAGGTATTTTTTTTGCTGTAGTCGATTTTAGTAGGGGAACCCTCCCCGAAGACAATGTAAAAGGGCACGACCTAGATATACCTTACCCCAAAGAACCAGCAACCAGCCCATCACCCAGGCCTCAACTTGCAACCCCCTGGTTTAGACCGCTTTCCTTTTAAACGGACCCTCGTGTGAAAAGGCGGGAGGGGGTGCAACGCGAACCCCCAAAAAAAAAGGAAGAAGAATGCCCCTGGTGTTTCTCTTTGTCTTTTGGCTGGCTCCGTATTTGTCTGCAGGGCAGTATTTTCACGAAAAGTCTGGATCCATCCAAGCATGTGGATCCCCCTCCAAAAAAAAACGGATCCATCAACATCCATGCAAAAAGAACCAAGGTTCCACTTTTTTACTACCCCATCAACTTAAACCCAGGGGTTAAAGTTTTGAGAACTAACCCTGGATTTAAGTCCACCCGCATGGTCAACAAATGGAACCCTGAAAAGAACATGGTGGTTCCATCCTATTTTATCTGACCACGGTTCCTCACTCGCCATGAATTCTCGGTGCAAAGAGGAATTCTTCCAAGCAATCAGTTGTCAGGTGGCTATGCAAGTTCCTCCAGTAGAGAGGTTAGAACAAACATACTTTTTTTCCTGTCTATCTTAGTAGGGAAACCCTCCCCCAAAAAAAGGGGGAGAGAAGGGCACCTAGCTGGGGGACCTTGTATGTGTCAAATTCGGGGGGCCCCAAAAACTAGAACCCCGAAAAACTGGGGCGGGGAATTTCCAAACGCGGCACGTCCCTTTAAACCTCCGAAGAAGGGCAGGGTCGAAGCCTTCCGTCCCTTTAAACATCATCCGAAGCCTTCGCCGGTCGAAGTTGTTTTTATGTTTTTCTAAAGGCGTGAGCAGAGAGGATCTGCGAGTCCTTGGAGGGCAGGGACGGCTTCATGCCTGGGAAGGTGTTCTTGTTGGCGACCATGTCCTGACAGACACAGGATTTGTCCAGCCGAGTCAAAAGTTGATCCATTTCAAACCAATCGTCACAGGATGTCCAACCACATCAAAAGAAGCTCGAAATTTACTGGTGATTTTCCCAACTGAACCTATCGTCACTGGATTTCCAACCGAATCAAAAGCCGCGCAATTTAGTCACGGGATTTCCAACCAAATCAAAAGTTGATCCTTTTCCTGGTGGGTTGGATTTGTCGGAACCAGAAGTCGTGCACTTTGCTGGTGGTTTCCCTTGAAACGCTCGCCACTGTTGGAGAAGCCCAGGGATGATGTACTGGATTTCCAACCAAATCAAAAGTTGATCCATTTCCTGGTGGTTTTCCCAGCTGAACCTCAAAATAAGCTCGAAATTTACGGGTGGTTTCCCTTGAAACAACCGCCACTTTTGGAGAAGCCCAGAAATGAAAGGTGATGTGGGTCGAGTGGGTCGAAGAGCCGAGTCTAGCACTCCGGTGGCATCGAAGAATCGCTACCCTCCTGTCCACGAACATAAAAACCAGCAAAGGGGTTCCTTGAAAAAGGAAAGGTCGCCTTCAGGGGGGGGCTCCACTTTTTGGCTACCCCGAGGTAAACTCTCCTTTTGGGGGGAAATCAACGACCCCTGGGTTTAAGTCTACCTTGGGGAAGGCAAGAAGTGGAACCCTGCTTCCAGGACCCGCGTGTGTTCCATGTTTTTGGATAAGAGGGTAAGTGCTGAACCCCCAGTTGCCTCCCAACTTGCTACCAAAGACCAGGGATCCAAATTTGCACCGGCGTTCCCTTGAGGTCGATCTGGTGTATTTCTCTTGAATGGCCATTGTGAGGTACGTGTTCTGGAGATATGGATATATATATATATATAAGCTTGTTAGGCAGTATATACTCCTATATCAGTGGTATATAACTTCCATACCTACATGCACACCTCCAAAACCCATACCTGAACAGTTCCCCAGATGGAGCAACCCAGATCTAAGTGGGGGCCCTCTTTGCGTCCGTCCTCTGCCATCTTCACCAGGATGTCCGTCATGGCCTGCAAAAGGAGGCGAGGGATGACAACCACGTCGGAGCGAGCGCTGGGTGTCTGTCCGCAAACGGGTGCCATGACGAAGGACACGCACCCAAAAGAAAACGGCCATTTCACCTTATCTCAAAAGTAGGCGCCCGACAAATGGATTGTGCTACCTTCTTTGAAGCCAACCCAAGGGAATTCAGAAAAAAAAAAAGGGAGAAAAAAAAAAAAAAAAAAACGATTTCTGATAGTCTCCTACAATTCGAGCCCCCCTTTTTGGCAGCTCCGAAAGGCTTTCTCTTCAAAGGCAGTTTTCAGATACCCCCCGCCCCTCAACTCCCCTCTAATTAGGGACCCCCTCCAGGCGCTTGGGTGCCTTTTGCTGTGCTCTTCAAAACCATCCAAAACCTCCATTTGCTCACGTCCGGGCAAAAAAAGCCTCAGAAAAATAAGACACATTCTTAAGCGAATGGGAGAAAAAGAGAGGGGCTTTTGATTTCTCAGATGCCCAGTGGCCATGGAAAAAAAGGGCATCAATTTTTGGTTGACTTTAAAGGAATCGGAACCCTTCCCAACAAAAATGGAAAAAGGGGCGGAATCCGCTGGGCTGGGATTTTGAGACGCGTGGCGCATGGTCTCAGGCCTCATGGGTGTGGGGCCCGTAGGCCGTGAACCCTCCCTCGTAGCGCTGGTGCTGGTACTCCTCCGCTTCGGCGCTTCGGCGCGCGCTTCGGCGGTTCCTTCCCTGAGATCCAGCAAGCAAAATGAGACTTGGACGCTTCTGGCCGGTCATGGCTCCCTTAAGAGGTCTCCAAATGGGTCTGTCCTTTTACAACCCCCAAAAATGCTTGGCTTCTCTTAGATGTGCCTCTAAAACCACCAAGAAAAGGTACGCTCAAAAACAGACAAGCCCAGTTGAAAGAAAAGGTTGGCCTTCGGCCCAGCCGCATTGTTGGTTTCGTGAGGTTGCTTGGCTCATCGCCAAAGGTCGATCACCTTTTGGCGTGATCGACAAACCATCTGTTTCCAGAAGGTCACGTGGGGCGATTCGGTCTTTGACCAAAGACCGGCCATCTAAGAATCTAAGGAACTAAACAAATTCCAGTGGGTTGTGAAACCTCCACAAAGACAAGACAAGAAATGCATGTGGATGGCTCGTCACGTTTTTGAGGGTGCCCCCGTTTGGAGGGTTTCCATTATGAGTCAAAAGGCAAGCGGCCCCTTTCAACCCCCCGATGCGTCCTCGATGGTGGTCACATAGCCCGCATATCCTCAGCATCGTAGTGAGAGGTTTCTGTTTGAGACTCTCTTGGTACCCTGAGTGTTTCAAGCGGAAACCAACGTTGTGTCCTGCCTACATGCCGGTTTTGACAAGGAAACCAACGGAAAAGCTGCCATGTCTTCGTGTGTCACATGACTCAGCTTCCATGCTCGGGGCTCTATGGAACCAGCCCACTTCTGGGCTGCCCTCAGATGCCGTCCCAAAAGTTTAACACAAATGGAAACTACCGAAATCCATTTGGGGTGTCCGAATCCGATAAAACAAAACAAAACACCCATTTGGAAAACTGTGATTGAATCTGGGCGGTCCTCAGACCCCCTGCTAACAGTGACTCTGTTGGTGGGTCAAATGGAAACCCTCTTGAGTTCTAGGGTGTGATTCCTTCGTCTGTGCTTTTCAACTATCGTTCCTTTCAGAAACCCATCGCCGTTTTGCCCTTCTAGAAAGAAGGTTCCCTGGAAAGGAAAGAATGGGGAGGGTACCCCTAGATAGCAAAGGCATACTTGGGTTCGTCTCAATTTTATCTGACGGGGCCTTGTTTTAAGTATGGGAATGGCCCTTTCACGACTACGTTGGTACTACAAAGGGGATTGGCTTGGTATCACAGCAACTTTTTAGGGCCCATGTTTTCCAGCATGGATGGGTTTGTAGGATGGCGTCCTCTCACCAACTCACCTGGACCCCCCCTCTTGAAACCCAAAAATGGTCTCAACCACGCCTCATGCCACGCAAAGGTGCATCTCATCTTGGTTGACGTTGGAAGGGGAGCAACAAATTAAATTTTAGCAGTTAAGTGGGGATTTCCCACTCAACCACAAGAAGCAAAAATGTAAAATTCTTCCCAACAACAACCATCTCATCCCTCCGACTCTGAAGGGGCGGAGTCGCATCCCAAAGGCACAGTCCCTGCGGGCAGTTCTGCGTCTCGTAACATCAGGTCATGTGACAGATGCATCGCCCTGGTAGATGCTCAGAGTAATTCCGGGGGGTCAAAGCGTAGGACTTTCTCTGGAATCGGGGTGACACACCCAATTGTGGGGTCAAGGAACAGGTACTCAGAATGGAACCCTGGTAAATGGAAACAAGCACTAAAACCTGCGGGGGGTTCGGTGGTTTAACATTGACCCGTACCCAAAATCTTTCGGGCTGAACCCGACTCAGGTGCCGGCCGGACGCCACGTTGTTCATGACCTGGACACAAGACCCGGCCCATGTCCCGAATCATCAGGAGAGCTCCGATCGGAATGCGGCATGCGGCCCCCTCTTATTTGTTTTACCGAGTCCCACTTCATAACCTTTGCTCCGGCTCCCGGATCCAACCACCAGCTAGAGAACAGGCACTTTTCTTCTAGTTGATTTTCGGGGCCTCCCAAGCAAGGCCCCCGAAGCCACCGGCCTTTAGAACGAAAACCTCCGACGAAACTGCCCTAAACTGCCCACCACAGGCGACTCGTTGAAGGCGTTGAAACAATTAGACTCTTGTGCGTTCGACGTGTTGCTTTGGGAATTCAGCTTTAACAACCAGCTTCCGCCTTGCACCAAAGCACAAGCATGTGTGCATCCTCGAACCCATCTGTTTGAACGATAGGCCTCCTTCCGCGGAAATAGATGGCGTGTAGATTGTGAACAACCAGGTCAACCAGGAATCGCCATCCATTTTCCCCCAGAACCGCAGAAAAGGATGCCTCTGGTTTGAAGCCCAATGTTGACCCGGGATTCATAAACCCCTGTCTATTGATATGGCGGCGTTCCCCTTCCAAAGTGGTCTGAATCCCCACTAAAACCAGGCAACAAGCACCCCCCAAACCATTCAAATCCCCCAAACCAGGGAGAAGCACCCCCAGAAAAAGACGCATCCCCACCAACCTACCCACTAAAACCATTCATACAACCCCTGTTTCCATGGCGCCGTTCCCTCCAAAAGTGATTCTTGATTTCCCACTGAAACCAGGCAACAACCCCCCGTATGGCTGTGACTCAAAAAGCATGTACCAAAATGGGGACCCAAAGACAACCTGTGTAACCCATACCCTCTTTCATTTTGAGCCACACCTATGGAATCCCCCAACAAACTTTACGGTGTCAGCCATGGATTCCAAGTGGTGCGATTTCTGGCCTCTGTCCATCCACACACCCAACAAGGTCCTCCAGTAGAGAGGTTAGAATCAGGTTACCATTTTTTTTTATGTAGTCTATTTTAGTGGACGAACACCCTCCCAACCAAAAAAGTTGGCTTAAGAAAGGCACCAATTGCTGGGGGACCCAGCTTAATCACACCAGGGTGAAAGTAGACGACGTAATTCGGGCACTACTGGGGTGCCTATTCTTGACCCACAGCCAATTGGATTCTGTCCATCCGGGCTGGGTCCGTCCAACGCTCGACTGCGTCCGGCTGAGCGCCCCAGGCCACCATGGCGGTGTCGTTCACCACCCCGGCGTCTACGAAGACCGCCTTCACCGCCTCGAGTCGAACGAACGAACCAAAACTTCGAGCCACGAGCGCCGGAAGTTGTCTGGTTTTGGAGCTGCGGACTTTCTTTGGCTTCAAAATCTTACCTCCAGGAATTTTACAAAAGGGAATTATCATTATTTATCTCCAGGATGTGCCTGGAGTCTCCTTCTGAGCCTTCAAAAAACAAATGGTTACGGTCAGTACGGTCATTACCCAAACATGGGGGAGGGCCCTTTTTTTGTGCGGATGTGGCGCTTCCGTTTGGGATGGCAAAAAGGGGGCAGGGCAAAACATGGGGGAACGAACTTCGACCGAGGACCGCCGCGAATTTGTTCGTTTTGGATGTGGCGCAAGCGGGTTTTTCATTTCAGGGGGCCTCAGCCTATGGGCCGGCCCACTTGGGCAACCCGCAAAGGGCTATGTACTTAACAGAGCCTAACAGAGCCTTGCAGCCGGGGCCATTTGGGCTGGCGGCTGTTAGATCAACGGCGAACAGAATCGACCAGGTGCACTTCCGTTTGGGAGAGCGAGAAGAGGGCAGGGCCAAACATGGGGGAGGGGTATTTTTTGTGGGGGGATGGTGGCTTCAGTTAGGGATGGAAGGCAGGGTAGTTTCTTGCAGCAATTTTTGTGGGGGGGATGGTGGCTTCCGTTTGAACAACGGCAAACAGAATCGACCAGTTGCACATAGCAAGCAGGGTAAGCAGGCAGTTGGCACACATTTGGAGACTCCCCGGAAACTGGCTGGGCCACAATTGGGGGTTCCTGTGCTACCTGAATCCTACCATAGTGTGGCCCAGGATTCATAAGCCTACCTAGAATGGCTTGCACTACCAACACAGTACCCCAATGAAAATGGGGAAGATACCTCTTAATTGAACATATAAAGTAGCCTAAATATCATGATCCATGTTATGTTCCATACCTTGCCATGTTGTGTTCCATGCTATGTTTCATGTTATGCTCCATGTTTCCCCAAGTATTCTTTACCTAATAATACGACCCCATGACTGATCTGTTGCCTCGAGTCAGCAAGGAGCCAATGACCATACGCCACCGGAGCTCAGGCAAAGGGATGCTTTGGCTTTCGCATATACTGGGGAAAGGCTACCTTTGCCCACACAAAAAGGGACACAGTAGAACCTAACATGTTCTGATTCCGTTTCCCTGAAACACAGAAACAAATGTGAGTGGAATTCCCCCCCTCACCCAGATAACATGACATGTTCTGATTCCATTTCCCTAAAACACAAAAACAAATGTGAGTGGAATTCCCCCCCCCCTCACCCAGATAACATATCATGTTCTGATTCCGCTTCCCTAAAACACCAAAAAAAAAAACATGTGAGTGGAATTCCCCCCCCCTCACCCAGATAACATAACATGTTCTGCTTTCGTTTCCCTAAAACACCAAAACACATGTGAGTGGAACTCCCCCACACAAAAACACATGTGAGTGGAATTCCCCCCCCTCACCCAGATAACATAACATGTTCTCATTCCATTTCCCTAAACCACAAAAAGGAATGTGAGTGGAATTCCCCCGCCGCCCTCACCCAGATAACATAACATGTTCTGATTCCGTTTTCCTGAAACACAAAAACACATGTGAGTGGAATTCCCCCCCTCACCCAGATGTTTTTTTAGCATGTTCTGATTCCGTTTCCCTAAAACACAAAAACACATGTGAGTGGAATTCCCCCCCCTCACCCAGATAACATAACATGTTTTGATTCCATTTCCCTAAAACACAAAAACAAATGTGAGTGGAATTCCCCCCCCCCCCCCCGAGAGAACAATATACAGTGGATAGATGAAATCCAATTCGAACCAGTTGGTTTGGTAGGTGGTTTATGCCACTATTTACAGGATTTCGTCCATCCCAACTGGTGCAGGATTTCGTCCATCCACAGCAGAACACAAGATGTTCTGTTTCCGTTTCCCTAAAACATTAAAAAAACAACTCCTGTTTTGAGTGGAGATTCCCCAAGATTCTGGGGTTTCGGACCACCTTTGGGTTGCCAATGTTTGAGTATCCGACGCGTAGCTCAAGGCACGTGTTCTTTTTGCAAGAACCAACCCCTCAAAGTCCGCATAAGGGGTCCCGAAACACTCGCTATTGCCACAAGGATAGGTACCTGCTGCCTACTCGGCTAGAATGGTCCAGTTGCATATGGAGACCAATACACAAGGCAGACTTCAGCTTCGAACCAAATGCGTGACACGATGGATGAACGAAACCCTGCACCGCCTAAGAAACCCAACGGAATGTTTCGATTCCCGAACATAAGTACCAAACAAACATTCTGGTTTCAACCAACTTCATGGTTTCTTTGTCGTGGCGCGATTTCCCCTGTACATACCCAACAACGCTTCTCGATTTCTGGATATTCCCCCTGTAAATACCCAACAAACCTTATGGTTTCATGTGGTTTCATTTCATGCTGCGAACGGATTTTTCGCCGTTCCACCGCCAAGCGAAGCGCACGATCCGCCTCGCGGGTGCGCTTGCCGGCCATGGTGGTGAACTCTCCGGGCACCGCCACGAGAATCTCGCCGGCCAGCCGCGGTAGCATTTGGGGAGTGTCCTACTGTGGATGGTTGCGAAATCCATTTCGCACCTAAGAAACCCTGGTTTCTGATGATTCGCCTGTGAATACCAACAAACGTTACGGTTTCAACCATAGTTTCAAATGGTGCGAAATGGATGTTGTCCACCCACAGTTGGGTTCCTTGCCCCCATGAAAAGAATGGCCTTGCGGGACCCGAGTTGGAGGACAATGCCGAGATAATCATGAACCCGGACCAGTCCAATGGTGGTTACATGCACCCCCCCGCCCCACTGTTTCAATGGTGGTTTGGAACCCCAGGGTATGGGCAAGCTTTTGGGGTCGCTTTCTTCATGGCGGGTGGCGACTCAAACTCCTGTTTAAACATGTGTACACCATTCTCCGAATCAACGGGGGGAGTCAACTCATCCAAAAGGAGAGGCGCATGTCACTCGTTCTGCGTGATTGTAACGGCATGCTGGTCTTCCTTCAAACCTGGGCCCCGTGTTCTGATCCCTTGCTAAAAGTGTTTAACTTTTCGTGGGTTAAATGGAAACCCGACCACTAAGCCAACTACAACAACAACTAAAATCCTAAGTGGAACCGAATGATTCGCTGGGAGCCACCAAGGAAGGGGAACGAGGGGATTGCCAATAAAACAAACTCCTTTCGGCTCCTCAAGGGGCGCCCTCAACAAAAACACACACCCATGTCTGGGCTCACTAATCAATTTTGACCGCTGGGGGTTGTCAAAGTCAGAATTCCCGTGGCTGTTCCCTTTAACCGACCTACATCAACACACACACACACATACACAGGGTTCCGTCGAGGACTGCAGTCCTCGTTTATTTAGTGAGTCCCACAATGTCCTCCCAATGCATAGACCTGAAATGATTAAAGACCAATGAGGATTGTCTCAAAATATGGGGACCCCCGAAATGGTTAAGTTCCTTTTGGTTGCCTTCAAAACCATCCAAAAAGGGTGCCCAGCCTCAAAAAAAGACAGACCCATGGATCAATGAGTTTCCTTTTGGTCATGTGTTTAAAACTTGACCTATCAGAATCCTTGTGGTTCTATTTCTTTTATCCTTTGGCTTATGCCAACCCCTCCAAAAAAAAAGAGACTGGTCTCCCAGTTTCCGCGGGTTTCCCTGTAAGGCTTCCCTTCTTCACCCCGCTGACCCCGCTGAACCCCCCGCGCGTCTTTGCCTACGAGCGCCTCTTTCCGGGGCTCCCCGCCAGATTCCCCACGCGCATCAGCTGAAAGCCCAGGACCTCGAGGCGAGTCCGAGTCTTGGTTGACGTTGGAAGGGGAGCAAAAAATTAAATTTTGGCGGTTAAGTGGGGATTTCCCACTAAACCACAATAAGCAAAAATGTAAAATGTGTCCCAACAACAACCATGGAGTCGCGGGTTCGCCGAGGCGAACCGAGGCGGGGCGGGGCGTCGGGGCGTTTCCAACCATCCCATGGGGCGGCTTCCCAACAAACGGATCGACCCATCCTGAAAAAATTGTCCCCCCCCCCAAAAAAAAAAACGGCCAAAAATGGCAATGCTTAAAAACCCGAGAACCCCTCTTAACCCCCCCATCCTAAAAAAAACACCCCCAAAAAAGATTTAATCCGCGACATCGAGGCCGGGCCGAAAGTTCGAGGGGTACCTTCCATTTCCATGCTTTGCCAGATCCTTCTTTCTAGAAAAGCCCGCCCAAAAACAACTCCACACGAATCGTCCACCAAAATGGGGCGGTTACCAACAAAGTACGGATCGACCCATCCTGAGGGAACAGGGAACCCCCCCCCCATCCTAAGGGACCCCAAAAAAAAACCCGCGACATCGAGGCGGGCTTTCCACCAAAATGGGGCGTTTCCAACGAAATCACGGACCCCATCCTGAGGGAACCCCAACAAAAAATATCTAGGACCTCCACATATAAAACCCCCCCAACCACAGAACAGCGGGCCAAAAAGACATGGTGATGTTTGAAAGGGACATCTCGGGGTGTTCTCAACCTTGGGCACCCTTGGACCCTTTTTCAGGTGCTCCCGGAGCAGCCGCCGCCTCCAAAAAAAAACACATCAAATTGAGTAAACCCAGCAAGCCAAAGGGGAGAAAACAACGGGTGCCTGGGGTTCTCAAAAAAAATTGGGTCGATGGATGGGGCGCCGTTAAAGGGGGAAAGACTAGTTGTGTGTGTGGTTGGTTTGCTTCAAGGACCATTTTTGGGAGGTGGTTCAAAAAGAAAGTGAAGGGAAACCAGCATGTTGGAGGGGGGGGGTTCCCCAAATTTTGGCACCTCGCAAAACACGGTGTTGTGTTTTTTTTGGGAGGGGGAGGGGGAGGGGGGGAGGGGACTCCCAAGGCTGTGTCACAAGGGAAGACAATTTGTTGGAGAACATCAAAACCTCACAACCCGGTTTGTTACCCTGGTTTGGCCATTGCTTTGAAGCCCTGACATTCTTCCCCCGTTGGTCCTTTTTGAGGAACCTCGTTTCGCTCTTTAAATATTCCACAGGGCATCCACAGATTCGCCACGTCCAAAACCCTTTTCGAGCTCCATGTCCTGAGTGTTCCCCTGCCAACAATACGAGAAGATATGTCCAGTAGAAAAAGCAAGGTTCCCTTTAAAGCCAACAACTACATCCTCCATTAGAGAGCTTAGAATACGGTCTCCCCAAAAAAAGGATAAAAGGGCACTACTGGGGGACCTAGACAAGCGATATAAAAAATGTTCTGAAACGCAACTGGACGATAACCAGGGATAGAAACCACCTGGCTAAGTCCTGGACCATCTCAGTATTTGTTATGAGGGGGACATGAAAAACAAGCTGGTGTTCCCCTGAAGCCCATCCCCTTGCACGTTGAGGAAACCCATCTATCCGGTACGAACTCAGCCCAACCCCGCGGGGCTTTGGTCATTTGGCTCATTCCGGCGGGAGGTATGTGGCTTCCCTTCTTCACTGTCCCCAGGTATACCCAGCCTTTTCCTCCTGGATTGCTTTCCGGAAAAGCAAGTCAAGCGCATGTTCGGAGATACGGTTCTATACCACTTACGGAAAAAAACTGCCTTGCAACCTATCCATGACAGGTACGCATCCATACCTCCAAAGCCCATACCTGAAGATGCCCTTGATCTAGGGCAATCCAAAGACTTGGAAGCCTTGGGTACTGTGTTGGCGTTTTCGAGTACCAACTTTTTGGAGTTGATTCAAAGAAGGGCTGTGGGGAATGGAATCCACTTCTGTGATACAACAGAAAGGGCCTAACCCCAACGGCGAAATTTTGTTAAGGGGGATTCCCAAAAGTATCACAGAAGTGGTTGGTTGGAGAAACCCCTTGTGATTCCACAACCCTGCACGAGGATGATTTTTCACTTCATTGGGGGCCAGGGATCCTCTTTGGAAGGCGTTGGACCTAACGCCGGTTTTGAGGCCGTTTTCAGGTCCCAAGATTCTTGGGGCGAAGGAAGTGTTGGGGCGAAGCCTTCGACATTTCGCGGCACTTTTTCTGGCTCCCGCCTTTGATCTGTGTGCCCATTTCTACAAGGCCGACCGTATAGCGGCAGCAGAGTGCGGGCGTTCGCAGCCAGATATTCTAAAGTCAACTAGATAAGAGAAGGGTAGCCAGGGTGTCCGAAAAGCACAACGTGTGGAGAGAACGGAGAATCAACCCTTGGCCAGATATTCCAGGACTTCACTTAGCTAAGTGGACACTTAATTATCCCAGAGTTCAATGGTTGGCTTTGCCCTGGTTCTAACTCACCAAATGGTAGCGGGTCATAACCAGGGCAGAGCTCACGGTTTTGCGATGTCTCGAGGGCGAGCCAAGCGAAGAAAACAGTTCTGGGGGGGGGGGATACTAAACAAAAGGCAAACAACAATGTTGAACCTCTATGTTTTGGGGTTTGCACCTGTGTTTCGGCCAGATTGAACATCCAATGCACCTTCTGATTTGGAGGATTTGATGTGTGGAACCCTGTGAAACCTCCACGGGGCGAGCAACGAAAAGTGCGTGGTTGACGTTGGAAGGGGAGCAAAAAATTAAATATTAGAAGCTAAGTGGGGATTTCCAACCACTAAACCACAACAAGCAAAAATGCAAAATGTTTCCCAACAACAACCATAAGTACCCTTTTTCCTTGCAAGCCAACGAAAAAAGGGGTCGCTGGTCCAACAACTCTCTCCAGGCGTCGCGCAAGCCTCGCAAGCCTCGACCCAAGAACCGCCAGGGGCCCCGGCAGATGGGAAGAAGGGGTAGGGCACATTCCTCAGCTAGGGATCCTACACCAGGTTGAAACCATGGAGAATCGGCATATAGAGGGGAATCATCAGCAACTAGGTCCTCCAGATTTGAGAGGTTAGAATAAGTTGGTACCCACTTTGTTTTTCTGTAGTCTATTTTAGTAGGGGAACCCTACCCCAAAAAAAGGGGAAAGAAGGGCACCTAGTTGGGGGACCTAGTTAGGGAGTTTCCCAATGGCTCGTTTTCTATGCGCACAAAATCGTAGCCAGCAAAAACGTGCTGTAGAAACCTGACCGACCAAGCGGTGTCCTTCGATTCCAAACCATCAACTACGGGCTACCTGACTAACAATAAACGGGGTGTTTGTGGCGAACTGTTTGCGTCCACAACTTGCGAAACATGAGCTGCACAGACTGAGCACGCCGACACCAACCCGTACCTCTGCCTCAGCGGACACCAAGCCTTACAAGTTGTCGACCCGTCTTTTATTTTGTTCTGCGAGTTGAACAGAGTGCGTCTCAAAATAGGGGGAACCCTTAAAACACGGGCTGTTGGATTTCCCCTAAAGTTGCAACTTTCTGGTGGTTGTCATGGACATCGCCACTTGAGGTTCCAAAAAGGGAAATGGAGGAAACCCTTTCGGTACTGTACCCTCAAAAACACACACACACACACACACACACACACACACACCCAACAAGCCCCATGGTTTTACTGTCAAAGTCAACCCCTGAGAGATATGCTTCAAGGGAAACACTCCCTGACTTTGAGAACGGCAAGGAGTCAAAATGAGCCCAGTCGATCGCCACTTCGGGGGTCGAAGAATACTTTGGACGAAAAAGGTCAAAAGTTGGTGGGTACTGTAACCCACTAGCTAGAAATATACCAAACTTTCCAACCATCATGGGTTGCCATCTTTCTGCTGGGTTGAAGTTGAAGTCGGATATTAACCAAACTGTCCATTAATTGCTACCAGTTTCCAACGATCATGGAAAGAGGACCGGGCCTTGGCCAAACCCTCCGATCAGCTTTCATCAAAGTAGTCTTAACCAAGTAGCTCCCATGATTGTTGGAGGGACTGCAACTTTTAACCCACATTTCGCAATGTTGCAGGTCAAACAGAGCCCCCCATTTCGGACATATCCCACGAAAGTAGTCTTAACCAAGTAGTTTCCATGATTGGAGGGAAGGGAACTCTTAAGCCACTTGACTTTAACCCAGATTTTAACCATCCGCTCCCCAACCAATTTCGCCGTGCCGTGCCGCATGCCCCCGGGATGCAGGAGGATGTTCTTTGGGGCCTGGCCGGGTGCCGTGCCCTTCGTTTTCCTTTTCAAACACATAACTCGGAATCAGAAATTGCAGAATTGGTAGAGTGTCTGTTTGGACAGCAAGATTGTCGGATTCCTGTCTTCTGAAGACCCGACATTTTCCAGGTTGACACACATTTGAGAAAATGGTTGTCCACGATACTTGGTCTGTCTTTCGCGGCTCGGACAACATCCTTTGTGGGGCGGGTTTCAAGAAAAGCCAAAGGAAATCCACAATTTCGGGAGTCACCCTAGTTTGCCATAAATCTATTTCCCCCATTAAGGTTTAAGGCTTAAACCCAAACTCTTGGGGGTCCCTGAATTCAGAAAGGGACTTTGCACTAGAAAATGGGCCACGCCTTCTTTCCCACAATCAGGGACCCCTACCAACCCTCCCCCCCTCCCCAAGAAACCAGTCGGAAGAGTCACTTGACACTTTTCAACATCTCAACTGTTCCCAGTTCGCGCTAATTTAGTGCTTTGGAGCAGAAAAGAGCATATCGTTGTCAACGTCTCATTGACGTAACCAATGGGCGCCGCTCAGGCTTGCCCAGTGGCCATGTTAAAATAGGATACCAACAAGTATTCAAATGGGTATACTTAGAGTCTCCATGACCGCCAGAAAAACAAGGGGTCATGACCCCTACATGTTGGGCAATGACCCCATTTTTGCAGGGTCATGGAGAGTCTAGGTAGATGTTCATGGTTACTCTCAAGCCTGGTTGGACAACAAATCCATGCATTTCTGGTGTCCGCCAAGTGGCCCACCCACATGACAACCACCTGTCATGGTCAAGGGGCATGCACTTCCCAAGGTGGGTAGCATGGTTTAGGGCTGAGTAGGTTTCTGGGTTGACATGTGGGTACATGTTTGTTTTGAGGCTCGGCACCCTCTTAGGCTTGGGGGTTGTGAAGAGAAGCCCAATGGGAAACCCCGCAAAATGACCCCGGGAGCGGGGAGCAGACTGGAGCAGAACCTGGCCCTTCTCCCACCCAACCCCTGGTAGTTTGCTAAATGGTCAGTAACCCTGGTTGTACACTTAAAGGGACTTACAAACATAGCTTTGTGGTGGGTTTAATCATTATAACACCGGCTACCAACCACGGGAATCGTCCACCATCTGCAAGTTACGCTTCCCACTATGGAATGTGACAGCCAAAACCTATGTCTTGAAACAGGTAGTGAAATCAATTCCCTTTAAAACCAACAAGGGAACAAAGAAAATTGTCATTTCAGCAAATGGAAGATAGGTTTGTTAGCACGCCTGAGATGTCGAGCATGGCCAACTGAGCATTACTCGCTATAGTGGCTCAAAAAAGATAAAGTGTTACCAAAATGGCACCTTGGTACATGGAACCAAAGACTAAAACCTGCGTATACCTAGGTGTTTAATTCTGAGCCACACCCATATTTCTTGTTGGGGGTTGTTCTTTTTGCGGGGTCCGTTTTGGTAAGACAGTCTCCTGGTTCACCCGCCCGTTTTTTTTTTGGTCCCTTTCCCAGCTTCCGATGGCTTCTGGGATTTCAAGCTGTCGGCTTGCGGCTCCGGGGAGGATCTAAGACCTCACCCTGGATTGCAACAAATACGACTTCCTTACATAAGCTGGTCTAAAGTGCAGCGTTTTTTTTTGTTGCCCTGGCTGTGGCTCAAAAAAGTGTACCCAAAATGGCCCCCAAATAAATGGAAACAAATACCAACACCTGCGTAACCCTGGCTCTTAAATTTTGAGCCACACCCCCCTAGAATTGAACCCAAAGTCTCAGGAAGGAAAATGGAGGGAGTTCTTATGGCCGTTCGAAAGCTAGCACCAAATCCGGTTGGCTCCACGCATCGATGCGAATGATCCCCGACTCGAAACGAGCCCCGCGGATTCGTCGAGCGAAAATTCAGCCTGACAGGCTTTCTCCTCTGCGGTGGGCAAAGAGATCATGTGCGCGATGAACCTGGGGATTTCTTTCTCGGCTTCGGTGGTGTCCCTTTAAAAAAATCAAGGTGAGTCACTTGCAATCAAAACCGATCGGTACAAAAATGGTCGTCCCAGAACCATACTTCAAGAACTAAGAAGGCGGAAATGCCGCAGCTATTTATGGCCAGCGGATCGTCTCTTACTAACCTTCATCTACCCAGGTTTTGATTGTGACTCAGGTGGTAATGGCTTCGGACAACCCCCCTCCCCCTTTAACTCACATTTGGGTAGGCCAAGGTTGTGGGGGGGAAAAAACAAGCGGCAGTTGGGTGTTGCTTCTGTAGGGGGAGTTTGGAATCCAAGAAAAACTCATGGCCGGCGGGTTTGGGCGTTTTTGGGGTGCCCAAGGCCTAAAGGCCCGTCCCTGGAACTCCGATTCTCCGACTCGGCGCAAACCAACCCCCCAACCCCCCGCCCCCCCCCCAAAAAAAAAAAAGCATATCCCATTTACCCTCTACAACAGGGATCCTTACATTGTACACCTGAACATTGCCTTGTAAATGATGGTTTCCCCTTATTTTGGTGGAAAAAGCCATGATTCAAATGCGCAAAATGTATCTTTTAAGGAGCCCTGTACAAGAAGCCGGGCTTCAAGTCCAAATCCACACCCACCAACTCAGGGTTGCCTTAGTTGGCCCGTGAGTTGCGCGCCCCCCCTCCCTCGGAACGTCCCAATGTTCCCCTGGAACTTCTTCTCCGAAACTTCTTCTTACCCGACTTCCCCCCCCCCCCCCCCAACATCCCCAACCAACCACGAAGGCCCCAAGCGATCTGTAGAACGTCCCGAGGTTCGAGAAAAAAAATAGGCAAAGCGATCAGGTCCCCGGAACCGTCCCCCCCCCCAAAAAAAAAAACAAAAACAAAAAAAAAGAGGCCGTGGGGTCAGAAAAATATTCTCCCCGGACAGCGCTTTGGATCTTCTCAACTCCGCGTTGCAGGAAGCGCATGGGTTTCCCTGGCAAATGCCACACACCTTGCCCAAAGCCCCATCTAAACCGATGCCATGGGATTTCTTGGCCGCCACTTCGGCGATGAAAAGGACACCACCCCCTCAAATCTTCTTTGCGCGGCGCTGCAGGAAGCCATTGGAGGGCGTCATGTTCTGCCCGAACTCGTTCACCGCGGAGGGGCCGTCCGCGGTGCCCGCCGCGAAGGTGGTGCCCAGGCACGGGGAGCACGTCTGAGCCTGGGAAGAACCGGGGGCCTTGGGGGGCTGGGGAAAAGGGAGGGGGATGCCGTGGACCCTTAGAGTTTTTTATCTTGCAGCCTGGAAAAAAAAACTAAATGAAGGAGGTTGCAAAATAGACCCCCTATTTTGGTGAGGATTGGGATGTTCACTGGGGGTACGGGGGTTTGATCCATGGCAAATGAAGGAGGTTGCAAAATAGACCCTCGGGGGAGGGGAGGGAGGGGCAATGGGGGAGGGAGGGGGAGGGAGGAGCGGGGTATGTATGGACACCGAACGGGGTCTATTTCTTGAAACCTCCTTCATTTTAGAAACAAACCTGAACGAGACTGAGCCTGCAAGCATGCACTCTAAGTGTGCATGGCACGGGGGGCAGAGGAGGGGGAGGGCATCCCCTAACTTCCTGAGTGGATTGAAAAACGTTGCCGTTGACACTAAAACTCTTCCATTTGGTTGAGACCCCTGGAAAAAATAAAAATATGCCCAGTAGTGATAGATTCCCTTTAAAACCAAAAGGGGAAATGAAAAAATTATGTTTAAGAAAATGGAAGAACATGGTCTTCCCAAACTTCTTGTTTACCACTAAAATTGTCCAAACCCAAAAAGTAACAAGTCCAGGATCTCAGGAAGTGTCACTCAGTTGTCCAGTTTGGCCCCAGAATTAAATGGTGATCATCTTTTGGCGCCACTAAAAATTGACCAAACCAGGGAAACCAGAAGGCTGGTTGCCCAAATGTACCTACCTGACCTTCCAGGAAATGTGTGCGGCTTTTGGGAAGCCCAATTTCACTTGGCCCAACACCCCACAAAAGAAGTATATTTATAGCCATGGTGATAGCTTGGGCAACTGGGGTAGGTCTTTGCCTGGACATCCAAATGTAGACCATTTTGGGTCACGCTTCCGAGCCATGACTTCTAAAATTGGCTCGCTCCCCTTTGGCTCTACATGGGTGTGTCGTTTTGCGGGCTACCCCAAAACAGGCTTGGTTGAAATGGAGGGTCCGAGTCCCTCGTTTTGAGACAAGCCCATGGGAACAACTTGAGTGAACCCTGCTGGACAGTGTTTAAAGGGAAGCCAAAGTACAACTACTATTTTGAGGGTCCCCATATCCACATTACTCCCTGGACCAAACTGACTTGAAAATTACGAGGGAGCTGAACCACGCTCCGGCATCTGAATTTTGGAGCCCATGTTCAAGGGCTTTCAGAGACCACCAGGCACCATGCGAGCCGTCCAGATGACTTCTTCCCCGAATGGACATTGGAAAATCTGGGGCCGGGGCACTGGTTTCTGGAAAATGTGAGTGCCCCATGTCCTCCCCAGAAATAGCAATGGACTACCTAATGAGAGCAAAATACCGGGGCCCAGGTTGCCAAATCCGTTTCAAACGCACCTTTCAGAAACCCTGGAATCTGATTTGATTTCCCTGAGTAAATACCAACAAACGTTCTGGTTTCAACCATGACCAACCATGTTTTCAAAGTGGTGCGAAATGGACCTCGTCCATCCACAGTACGACTCTATGTCCCGGGAGTCCAACCCGTTTCCGCCCATGGGTGGTTGGACTTGTTCGTTCCCTGCTTAGCGTCGGGTCCAAGTGGTTGCGGGGGTTGGTTTCTCCAACGGGCTTAATTTGTATCGAAGGGTCGGGGGGCTGCTATTTTGGGGAAGAAACAGTATATGGGCGTTTCTCCAAATTGGAGTCCCCTCCAAGCCGAGGTTCTTTTGCCCAAAATGGGGTTCTCTATTCTGAGAACCCCCCTTCTGAACTTCAATGGGGATTGAAGATCGGGCCATATTTGGTCATTGACATGGCCATGGGTCAAAATCCTGTACCCCAAGTGCGCATCCCAATCCCAATACACCAAAATGGGCGGTGAATTCACCCACCCCAAAATAAACGGCTCTGACCACCACAGCCACCTGGTGCTAAAGGCACACGCCTTCAAGAAAGGCATGCGGTGCATCAAGATCCGATCCCGCCTCTGAAGAGCTGGCCATGCTAAGGCTCTTCGAAATGGAGCGTTGCAAGTCGAAGTCGGATCCGACGTTTCTAGGGGACACGTCCATTTCCAGGTTATGGGACCGGCATAGGTTATGACCCATGGCCATCTAAGTACCCTTTTTTCTAGGGGTGCCATGTCCATTCTGAACCCAGGGATCCGAATTTCTTTCCAGGAAACCATCAGAACCCCAGGGGAAACAGCGATCCGGTTTTTGAAGAGAACGATGGTTGAAAAGAATGGGGAATCAACCCCTGGAATAATGTCAACCCCTGATGAATACACCCCCATTTGAGCCATTTTCAAAACCTGGGACAAAAATGGTCGACCCAGAACCATGCCGAGAATTCAGAAGGCGGATTCCCGCAGCTATTTATGGCGAGGGGACTGCCCCTTACTACCCTCCAAGTACCCGGGTTTTGATTGTGGCTCACTTGTTATTCAGAATTACTCCCTTCTAGTAGGCATTCCTTGCTTCCAGGGGACGGGTCCCCTGATTTTTAGCTGTGATTTTCCGTGCTCCCTGGAATCAAATTATGTCCAGGAGCGACAGATCCCCTCGAAAGCCAGCAGGGGAGAACAAGACATTCATTTCGGCTCGAACAGAAGTTACTTCTTTGCTTGGTTGACGTTGGAAGGCAAGCAAAAACTTAAATTCTAGCAGTTAAGTGGAGATGTCCCACTAAACCACAACAAGCAAACATGTAAAATGTTTCCCAACAACAACCATATTTGGGGTGTAAGGCTAACCACCTCCCACAGCGCTTTTCACCCGGGCGCCCAAGTGCCGTTCTTCTCGATGTAGTACTTGGAGAGATCCTTGGCTTAGCGGAGAGACGTCTCGTCCCCTTTCAAACGCCTTAGGCATGGGAGTGATGATTTAATGGGGGACCCTTGGTGGATATCAAAACCCGGGTCAACGAACCAATCAGCCAACCAACCAACAAATCAACCGTCAGCAGTCCGTCAGTCAATCAATGAGTCAGTCAGCCAGCCAATTCAATCCAATCCAATCCAATCCAATCCAATCCAATCCAATCCAATCCAATCCAATCCAATCCAATCAATCAATCAATCAATCAAGAAACCAATCAACCAATCAATCAATGCAATCCAATGCAATCCAACCCAAACCAATGCAATCCAACCCAATCCAATCCAAGCCAAGTCCAACCCAGTTCAATCCATGCAACCAATCAATCAATCGAATCGAATCGAATCTAATCAAAACACTTCAATTCAAATCAGTTAACAAGTCAACCCGAACAGTAGCGAGCAAAAGCATCCGCCAAACCCAACAACAACCACCAAGGAAAAGGCACCAGCCAGCCTCACCCCAGGCTTTCGGAGCTGCAACACCGCGCCGAGCTGCCACGAAGCGGGCTGCGTAACCCAGGCCGTCGCCTGGCGTCGAACGAGAACCGCGCAGGGGCGCCTTTAAGACTGAGACAGGGGCGTGGCAACCGATCGGGGTAACTGGGTCCTTTCTTAGGGGATCCCTCAGCGCACTGGTTTTAACCGATTGGCGGTTGAGGGCCCATTTGCTAACTGTAACTCCAACTGGGTCCCTTCTGAGGGGATCGGATCGCTTGCGTCTTGGTCAGAAAAGGTGCCCAAACTTGGCGCGCAAGATGTGACTGAAGTCCCTGAATTGAGAAAGCTGAACCAACCGACAGCTACGTTGATTTGCGGGTTGGGGTTGTGCTTAAGCCACGGTTTAAACCAACACACTCTTTTCAGACACTCCTTCTGTTGGTGGCTCCCCAAACAACACCCCAGGGTTTGCCGATTTTAACCCCTGCAGCAAAAAAGAAACATGGCTCAAAACACCGAATTGGCTGTGGCTCAAAAAACCGGTACCCAAAATGGAACCCTGGTAAGTGGAAACTTTTTGACCCCTGCGGTTTGCCCCACCTCCCGTTTGCGGGCGCCGGGAGCTGGTTCAAACAAAGTTTGCCCACTCCCCGCGGAGCTTCACGCGGGAACCGCCAAAAAAAGTGGAAAAAGCCGCGTTTTTGCGCATCGACCATGCCAATCCCCGCAAAGGGCGTCACTTTCGCAGAGTGGGTTCGGTTCCACCTCGCCACCTTGAAAAGAAACAAACTTTAATCTCTCGCGCAGGTGTTGCGCGCATTTTGCTGCACGCGTCCTCTCGTGCAGCTTGCTCTTGACGTGCTCTCGTGCTGCGCGATCAGCTAACGATTTTCCGGAAGAACCCTTCGCAATGCGTTCGGCTGCGGATGTGGGGATTTATAGCTGACAAAGTCCCTTTGAATCCAAAAACCAAACTGCAAGTGGCACGTGGACTGGGAAGTGAATTTGTGCAAACTGTGGCTTCCAAACAGAAGACAGGTGTTTGATGGAGAAAGCTCTCTCTCTCTATATATATATATATGAGTTTGTCTCAATGGTTTCCTTTTGGTGTTCCCTTACCGTCCAAACAGGGTACCGAGCCTCAAAGAAAAAGAGCGACATCCGGGCATCCCCACGCGCCCCAACTGAGCCCAAGCCTACGCGAGGCCAAATCGAAGGGCCGAAAATTTGGCCTTTCAAACTTGCACCAGCGAATAGCCGAAAATCAGCGAAAGCCAACGGCCAAACCATTTGTGTGGCTGTGTGTCAAAAAGAGAGCGGGCCGCCATGGGGCCTGTGTTTTTCCAGTGTAGTGCCTTTTGGGGCCTGTGTTTTTCCAGTGTAGTGCCTTTAGTGGTGCAAACAGGATTTGTATTTATGTTGTGTTTTTCTTTGTTAGACCAAGGAGCCAGAACACACGGGCATGTCTTTGTGCAAGGCAGTTTTTTTTGTAGACTTGTTTGCTGGACTGTTGCCAAATCAAATGCTATGTCACCCTAATTAGTGACAGAAAGAGATTGAAGATGCCCTAGGCTGAATCAAAACTGCTCTCACTTGGCGGACGGTTTCTTGTAGACGGAGGAGCACTGATAGGGCTTGGCCACACGCTTGCGCTTCTGCTGGCCGTGCTGGTTGATGTACGTGGCCTTCTTGTTGCGGATCGCTTGGTTATGCATCTTGCAGTAGTAGAGCACCTTGAAGGCGTGCCGGAGAGGAGAGGATTCGTTCAGCACACGTGCGTAGTTCCGAAACCACGCGAACACTTGCTCTGCCGCAGACGTGTTCACGTGCTTCAACCGCTTGGCCAACCGCGGCACATGCAGAGGGTTGCACTTGCATGTCTTCTTGTGCCCAGTGGCATGGAAGCAGTCGATGGTCCAATACTTCACCTGCTTGAATTCTTTCACCTCCAGGGCTTGCGGCATGAAGGCGCAGTTCCGATCCAGCACGAAGCAGTTAACCTTCTTGTACATGGGCAAGATCTTCAACAGTGAGTCCTTCACAACTTCGTTGTTCTCTGGCTTGCTCATGCAGGAAACCGAAAGCACTTGCAAGTTCTTGGGGTCGACGATCATGAACCACCCGTGCCCGTACGGCTTGCCCTTTCCATTCTTGCGGGGCTTGCCTTGGTGCGGCGCAACCTCAGAGCACTTCACATGGACTTTGGCATGTCCATCGCCAACTAGCTCTGTGACAGAAGCTTTGTTTCGAGGGGGGAAGACTTTGGAGTGCAGGTGCTTGTCATACGCAGCCAAAGAGATCTCGGAGAGTTCGTTGCCGATCTCAATGGGTTGGTTGATGCCAAGGGAAGACAACTCCTGCAATGCCGCCCAGTACATAATTGCATCTGCGTGCGCCTTCCGGAAGCGAGTGAAGTCCGTATCATCCACGGTGCCGTAGACATTCTCGCACACATCCTGGATGGCTCTGGATGAAACAAATGCACAGAACTCAAGCTGGGTGTGGTACTGCAAGTACTCCAAGCTGAAGCCACGCTTCACGTTCACGAACAAGACCTTCTGAATGTCCTGCGGGTTGGCGGTGTTCAGTTTGCATCCATCGACATTGACAAAATTGGGGCCGTAGGTCTTCCTGCAACCCCAAGCTGTGCAGCGCATAGTCCGGACGATTGCATCAGATGGACCACTCATGGAATAGACGACCGCCTCGATGTCATGAGCTTTGGACAAAGCCTTGTGTCCACACGAGCATGTGGGCGAGAGAGGCACTTTCCACAATGTGGGGCGCATGAGCTTGAAGAAAGTCTCGAAGCTGACGGTGTTGGCATACGCAGGCTCCTCGGAAACACCATCATCATAGGTGTTATCTGCGACGGCACGAGGTTCGTTTTGAACCCATTTTGTCGCACCCCATCGAGCCCAACACATGCTCTCATAGAGCCCGACATCCAGGAATGCCTAGAGCAACTTCATCGGGAGCATGTGCAAGGATGTGTCATCCAGGAAATCGCCCATGAGCACGGACCCCTGTTCGCCACGAAGAAAGTCAATCTCCGGCGTAGAGCGGATACAAGGCTGACCCGACAAGTTGAAGCGCGCCTTGTTGTGGCGCACCTGTGCCATCAGGACGCTCCTACCCAACGGGCTCTTTCCCGCGCCCGCCTCCCCCAGCATGGTGAAGGCTGAGAGATCGAAGTCCCATATCTCCTCCATGATCTCCAAGAGCCAGGAATGGTAATACTTGGTCGTCAAGGGGATGGGCCAATCGAACTCCTTGCGGGCCAAAGCGCCATCCGAAGCCAAGTTCCGAAGAGCGCGGTCAACCAAGGCCTGAGGCCATCCATGGATGGGAGAAGCTTTCCGGCGCAACTCCTTTGTCATCCATCGCAGCTGCTGCATTTCAGATGAGCTCCTGGGGCCATGTGCCAAAATGAAATCGAACCCCGCATCCACTTCCTCATCTGTCTTGTCCTCGAATGAGGAAACAGTCTTCGACTTCACGATGGCGTTGCTCCACCCATGGTCTCAATGCAGTACTGCACGATCTTTCTGCCGAGCTTGGGCTCCTGCATCCAGATGGCGCGCTTGGCAACTCCGAAGCCGAGCTTCATGAAGAGAGGGGCCTTGCATTTCTGGGGGAAGATGAAGTGCGGTATAAGATCCATCCAATGCTTTCAGGATGACCATCTGGAGTTTTACATCCTTGCCCACTTTCTTCTGCAAGCCGAAGGGTGCAGAAATAAGGTCCAGATCTTCATTTTCAATGGCTCGCTTGTACTCGCGCTCCAACACGGTAAAGTCAATCTCCTTGCGGTAGTTGAAGATGACATCGAAGAGGTGCACGCTCGCGTTGTCTGTGTGGAGCAAGTCCGCACAGGGGAAGTTGACCGGGTTGAAAGAGCCAGGCGGTTGCTCTGGCAAGGTAATAGGACTGGTGGAGTTCCTGCAAACCATGCCATCGAGCACCTCCCTGAGATGGTCCACGGTCATATCCTCCGCCTCGAGAGCCATGACTACTTGAAAGAAGAGGGAATGAGCTGAGACTTACTTGAGCAGGCTACCAGAAGAGGGAAAAGTAGATGCAGATCCAGACGCTGCATGGAGCAAGAAGTGCAACAGAGGAAAACACTCCGGGAAACCCAAAAAAAAAAAATCCTGAGAGGGAAATGACAGGAGGTGGCTTGCCTGAGCTTTTGTCTGCCAGATTGGTGTTTTTTGGTTTTTTTTGGTTTTTTGGTTTTTTGGGTTTTTTTGTTTTTTTTGTGTTTTTGTTTTTTTGGGTTTTTTGGGTTTCCTCGAAGAAAGCCCCAAACAACGGTCATGAGGGGGAAATAAAAGGAGGTGACTTACCTGAGCTTGTCTGTTTTTTTTTCGGTTTTCCACGATTTGTTTTGTTGTTTTTTGTGTTTTTTTCTGTTTTTTAATGATTTTACTGTACTTCAAAAACGCAGGCCCCATGGCGGCCCCTTCTGGTCAAAAAATGGTACCCAAAATGGAACCCTGGTAGAAGGAAACATGGACTAAAACCTGGGTGGTTTAATTTTGACCCACAGCCATGTGTTTCCCCCGCAGACCCAAAAGCCCAAAACAAGAACGCCAAACAACGACACGAACAACGAAACCACCGGAGAACCAAAACACACACGCCCGCCGAAACCCACTCCCCCCCCAAAAAAAAGGAAACAAACGGCCGTTTTGGACCCCGCCGCACCCCGAAGCCACCGACGCGCGCCCACCCACGGCGCACTCCGTCGGCGCGGCCACCGCGCGCCCACCCACGGCGCGCTCGGGCCTAGTGGCTGCGTGGCCTGGTCGAAGATGGCCTTGGCCGCGGAGTACTGGCGCTCGCCGATGATCTTCATGGACTCGAAGCTGTCCTCGGGAGCGAAAAAACGAAAAACATCGAAAAGAAATGGGCGGCTGTGCCCTTTGGCTTTTTGTCGGTTTCCTTGCTTGTTCGTTTGTTTCTGTGCATGTTTGTCCGCTTCTTTGCTGCTTTGGTGTCTTTTCTATTTCTTTCGTTCTTTCTTTCTTTCTTTCTTTCTTTCTTTCTTTCTTTCTTTCTTTCTTTCTTTCTTTCCTTCTTTCTTTCTTTCTTTCTTTCCTTCTTTCTTTCTTTCTTTCTTTTCTTTCTTTCTTTTCTGTCTTTCTTTTCTTTCTTTCTTTCTTTTCTTTCTTTCTTTCTTTCTTTTCTTTCTTTCTTTCTTTCTTTCTTTTCTTTCTTTTCTTTCTTTCTTTCTTTTCTTTCTTTCTTTCTTGTTTCTTTCGGGAGCGAAAACACGAAAAAAAATCGAAAAGAGCGTTCGAAATGGACGAAACAAGTTTTTATCTGAGCTGTTGGAAATGGAGCGTTGGAAGTCCGATCCGACGTTTCTAGGGGACACGTCCATTCCCATTCTGAACCCAGGGATCCGAATTTCTTTCCAGGAAACCATCAGAACCCCAGGGGAAACAGCGATCTGGTTTTTGAAAAGAACGATGGTTGAAAAGAATGGGGAATCAACCCCTGGAATCATGTCAACCCCTGATGAATACATCCCCATTTGAGCCATTTTCAATACCTGGGGACAAAAATGGTCGACCCAGAACCATGTGAAGAATTAAGAAGGCGGAATCCCGCAACTATTGCTGGCGAGGGGACTGCCCCTTACTAACCTTCATCTACCCGGGTTTTGATTGTGGCTCAAATGGGCTGTTGTGCCCTTTGGCTTTTTGTCGGTGTTATTGCTTGTTCGTTTGTTTGTGTGCTTGTTTGTCCGCTTCTTTGCTGCTTTGGTGTCTTTTCTATTTCTTTCTTTCTTTGATTTCTTTCCCTTCTTTCTTTCTTTCTTTCTTTCTTTCTTTCTTTCTTTCTTTCTTTCTTTCTTTCTTTCTTTCTTTCCTTTTTTCCTTTCCCTTCTTTCTTTCTTTCTTTCTTTCTTTCTTTCTTTCTTTTTTTCTTTCTTTCTTTCTTTCTTTCTTTCTTTTTTGGTGGGGGGGGAAGTGCCTTTTTTGGGGGAGGCTGTTTTGCTGTTGTTGTGTTTGCCCTTTGTGTGTGTGTGTGTGTGCTTCTTTTTTTTAACGGAGAGCACCATCCCCACTCCACCCCACCCCCACCCCCACCCTCCACCCCCACCCCACCTCCACCCCCATCCCACCCCAACCCCCACAAAGAGGGTCCTGGAAGACCATTTTCCTTTTAAAGGGGCACCGGGGACCGGGCCGTTTGCTGATCCCCTGCCAAAAGTGAATAACGTTTGGCGGGTTGACATGGACACCCAACCACCAAAGACGAAAAAGCTGGGAAGCGCCCAGAGGAATATACATGGGTGTGTCTTCTTTTGGGGGGCACCATTTTTCGAGCTGGTTTAACGGGGAATTGAAAGGACATTTTCAGGGTCCCTCTATGTTGACACATACTGACATGGGCATGCTGAGAAATGTGCAGGGCATGTGGGCATGACTTTAAAGGACCCACAAAATGAGCATGCAACCTGGATTTGTCACCATACTCAGAGAAGAACTGGTGCTTCTTTTCTAGGCATGCAATGGAGTTTCCTTCTTAATGGGTGGGGTCCTTCCGAAAATAATCCTGTGGACGAAATTCTGAACCACGTTGAAACAACCACAATGGGAAACGATTGCTTGCAGGGGAATCATCATTCCAGGGGTTCTTAGGTGGTGCAGGATTGCGTCCGTCTGTGGAGTCAGGGTTTGTTGCCTCGACATTCTGTTCATGGAGGATTGCTCAGCAAGAATCGCCGCCGCCTTAGGCCTAGGTGCCTCCAAATCCAAACCATCCGGCTCCAAACTGCCCACTAAGGGGGAACCTGACTATACCACCGCAAGAAACCAAGAACCTCTCCAATCCAAACTCCCCCCACTAAAGGCATCATGATGCAGAAACCAGAGTGATTCGCGCAATTGGCGTCTCCTCAGATTTGGGACCCTGTCTTGTTGAAGAAAAAGTCGGAAGAGAAACACCTCCAAAGATGTCCCCAAAATCAGAAATGATACCTCTAAGAATAGCCAGTGTCCGTTTTGGAACTCCAAACAAAGAACCTACCCCCTGTCCTCTGTTTCTGTACATCCCTCAAGCAGCCTTTGGGCTTTTTCCAAAAGCGCCAACAAGTGGATCCAGGCTCACGTCTTGCACGTGAGGCGTGCTGAAAGGATACTTTACATGGCTTTACATGGATTTTATTTGCTTGCAATTGACCCAAGATGACGTTTACCGCCACTTGGTTCATGCGCTTCACATGGGCTTGCTTTGCATGGCTCTAACTTTACACGTCGTGGTTCTGCATGGGAGGTCTCTACGTGGGTGTTCATGTGTCTGTAGTGCTCTTGCTTTGCACAGCTATGCTACATTGTATTGGATCTACACTTTCTGTGACATCTTTACATTTTACATGGACTACATGGCTTACAAATGCAGCTTTGTATTGGTTTCACTTGCTACATGCTTCTACATGGCTTTTACTCACATGATGTTAGGGGGAGGCTCCTCAAGACCATCTCAGGGCATCTCTTGGGGTCTCGCTGCCGAACGAGAGCACCCAAAAAGGTGGTTCTACCACAAGAAAAATGATCATGACCCCGTAGAAGAAAGGGTCAGAAGGAGACTCCAGGCAAACGGTTTGTTACCAAACTTCTTTCCAAGCCCAAAATGTGGACTGATGTCCTTCCGGACCTGTTGGTGCGGGTGGGGGTGTGCTAACCTCCGAAGCAGCTTCCCCGTTCTTTCAACGGATCCTTCCTGAAGCCACACAAGCAGCAATGACCCTCCATCGGAGGAGGAGACAAGGGATCTGCATTGACTTGCTGGTGCGATAGGTAGGGAATGTGGGAATGAACCCAAAAAAATCCCTTCAAGGAAACCACCAGTTGGATGGTTTACAGGGGTCATTCTCTCATTCCCTGCCATCAAGCACCAGCTAACAAAACGGGTCTTCCCCATTTTTTTCAGGCCCCAAAAAAAGCCATCACCCACCCACCCTGAGAAAGACCACCTGAGAACGCGGGTGCTTCTTCCAAGCCACTGGAGTGCCCTTTCAAAAGGTTGATCATGTTCTGGTGGGCGCCGGTCCGTGCCATTTTTGTTGGTCCCTTTAAAGGGACGTGTTGTTTGTGTGTGTGCTCTAGCACAGGCGTCCTTTGTAGGTGATTTTGGGTCGAAATAGATGGGCGCATTCGCTTTGGTTGGGGTTCTAGCAGTTTTCTGCGGGTTGATTCCTTTTCCATTCTGTTCAGCCATTGTTCTTTTCAAAACCCGATCGCTGTTTCCCCTGAAGTTCTGATGGTTTTCTAGAAAGAAGGATCCCTGGAAAGAATGGAAATGGAAGTGTCCCCTGAATATGTGTGTGTGTGTGTGTCCTTTTGGGTGGGGCGGGGTGCTCCAACGGTTCCCCGCCACAAAAAAGCAACGGCTGTCCCTCGAATCGGATCTCGAAAACGGATTCGAAGCGGATTCGACCCAGGCGCTCGACCAGGACCCCGTGAGCGACAGAGCTCATTCTTGGGCTGGCCATTCTGCCAGCAAACCTCGAGCGATGGCAACTTGGGACTTTCACTTGGGGCAACTTTTTGCGATCGCCTGGGCATTCAAAAAACACCATAGCCACATGGGTGTGCGATTCTTGCGATTATTTGGGCATTCCAACAAAAACAGTAACAAGGGACCGGACCGGTTGAGCGACTTGTGCGATCACTTTGGCAGGGAATCCAATTCATATTCTAATAAGACCCGAAATGGTGGAAGTCGTTCATGTGAGCCAACCCTTTTGAGGTGGCAACTCTGGAAAAATTCAGTTCCTCACTTCTTGGCAGCTTCCTCTTTTGTTCGGAGCTCGGGTTCGAGGTCTACCGGGCATGGTTTCGAAACCCCACTCACAAGAACCAGAAGGTTTGACCCCCAAATCACCAAAAAACCCTTGAGGGTAACCTGAGAACCCAAGGGTGCGCCAAGAATAAGATGTTCGAATTCTGTTTCATATTGAGTCGACCTTAACGACCAAAACAAATGGAGGAGAGCCCAGATGTAGTAGGGCACTCCCAAATTGCCATGCTTTCCCAGCGGGAAAAAAAAGAAGAAGCCGAAGGCTCTTCTGTTGGTTCCCATTCACAGGCAATGCGGAGTTTCGCATGGACTACGTGTTGGGCAATAAATCTTTGGCACCACTAGGTATCCTGGCCCAAGCATGATCTTGTTTCAAACAAATTCCCTGACCTTCACTTGGGGAAATGTCTAAAGTCAACCTGGATCGCCAGTTGCGGTCGCTTTGTTCCTATGCACCTTACCCTAACAACTAGCAACAGTGACGGAAAAAAAGCGATCGCAACTTGGCGATCTAGGCAGCAATTGGGAACGTCCGCCCCAACATGTGGCCATGGGTCAAAAGCCATATGGTACCCCCAGTGAACATCCCAATCCAACCACTTCAAATAGGTTCTAACATGGGTGGTGCGAATTCACCTGCCCACCAAAATGGGATCCCAAAACGGTTTTGACCACCACAGCCATGTGATCTCCCCCCGGAAATTCCGGGAAAAAAAAAGCAGACCCTGGGCGTCCCGGCGGAGTACTGATTCTCGCATGAGAGCCCCGTGTCGGTGCAGAAGTCGCCCAAGATGTTGGGGGACACGTCCTCAGGATCGGATCCGTTGGTTCAAGACAGCTTCGGATGGGTTTAAAACTCACTGGCTGAGTGGATGGCCAAAAAAAAGTTTTCAAACTTTATACTTACCGCTAAAATGGTCCAGCCCCAAAAAGTTTAAAGTTCATGAACTCAGAAAGTGAGAAAGGGGAAAGAGGCGATCGACCTGTCACCGGCCCGACCCCCAGTTGGTGGCTTGGATTGCTTTTTGGACCTGCAGCATCCCCATTGATGGTTTCAAAGGATACTTCCTAGACAGCCAAGTTGCGATCGCTTGTTCAGCCACTGTTGCTAGTTCTTGGGGCAAAGTGCATAGAAAAAAACGATCGCAACTGGCGATCCAGGTACCTCCAAAGGGAGCCATCTGAACAATGGCAAACCTGAAGAAGGGAAACCAAAGGAAACCACCAAAGGAAACCACCAAAGGAAACCACCAAAGGAAACCACCAAAGGAAACCACCAAAGGAACCGAAAGGCAAGCCAACACAAATTAAGAGTAAACTATCGCAAGCTGAAGGCTACTCAAAGGAAACCAAAGGAAACGTTACAGAAAACCACTGTCTCGAGACCCCAGGAAACCAAAGCAAACTGGTTTGGAAACCACAGGAGACCCGAGAAACAAAGCAAACAACTCACTGGCTGAGTGGATGGCAGGGAATGACCCCTATGAACCATCCAACTGGTGGCTTCCTCTAAGGGAATCCTTAGGTTCCTCACTTCCTGAGTGGGTGGGCCCAAAAAAAGTACAAACTTTCGGTTCACCACTAAAATGGTCCAAACCCAAAAAAAATAAAGTCCAGGAACTCGGGGAGTGAGACAGCAAAAGGCCAAGAGAAACCCGAGAAGACTGAAGGAAGCTAAAGGAAACAGCGCCAACCTTGGTACCCTTCTACCCTCGGTGGCGAAATCTGCGAAGCCCTGCAATTGAGTGACTCACTTTTAGTGGTTAATACGGAACACATCCAATAGTTGGCAAAAAGCTCTCAAGTCCTAACATCCAACATGCACCAAAGTATTGTTCATCTCCCAAACCTCGGAGCCGAGTCGCGATTCCGGGCCCGGGCACTCACCGCCCGATTCTTTGAGAACCTTCCAGTCGAAGTCTGATCGAAGGGGTTGGATTCCTTGGGGAACGATGGGGGCCTCGCTCCAGATCTAGGTAGATCCCCTGCCCAAAGTTTGCCTGGGTCATGCTCAGACTGCGACAAGCTGAGTTTCTCCGGTCAAGAGGGCAAATGGGGAAGAGACAACAGGATCCCGCTCCGGGGAGAGGATAGGAGTGAAAACCCTGCAGTTGAACAACCACCGAAGCATGGTCTATTTTATTTTTCAGCCGGTACCCCTTTTCTGGTGGGGTTTTCTCAAAAAACCAAAGGAAAGACCACAGAGCGAACCATCCCAAGTCGAACCCCCCCCCCCCGGACTCGTCCGAGGTGCCCCGGCAGCACCCTGTGCGAAGGAGGCCACGAAGGGGCCTCGGCGATTGGAATTCGAGCCCACGCGAGGGCCGTGGTCAGCGGACTTTGTGACCAAAATTTGACATGTTGGGCCAAAAAAAAGTGATCCCACTGCCTTGACTTTGTGAGTAAAGTGACAGTTGGGCCAAAGAAACTCGTTGGACACTGGTTTGTCCCACTTGTTTGGTCGTTCTGCATTGGACACCCCTTCACTCGAAACTCAGAGCTCCCCCCAAAACCCAAAAGGTCCAAATCCCAGAGATGCGTATCCCTGAACCCCTAAAAAACATCGTCGAAACCCGGAAAGAGCCATCCTGGGATTCCAATACGTTCACCTGAACACAACTGGGTCTTGGATTGGGAACCCTTTGGTGGAAGGTATTCCTGATTAAAATGAACAACCAATTGTCCACATCTGGCAATTCTTATTGCAAGGTATATGGCTGTGGCTCAAAAAACCGGTACCAAAATGGAACCCTGGTAAGTGGAAACATGGACCAAAACCTGCGGTTTGCCCCTCCTGTTTAATTTTGAGCCACAGCCATATATGGGTATCGGACAATATCACTTCCCACTGCTTCTTGATTTTGTCAGCCGACCACTGGAACACCACCAAAAAAACCGACGTCAACGGGACACCGAGACATCCTTCCATCAACCGGAAGTGGGTGAAAAAAGCGGGGACCTCAGAAAAGGCTGGTTCTTCTGTTTCACTTTAAAACCAACCAAGAAGGTTCCCCTTACTTTATTTATTATTACTAAAAAGAAAAGAAACGCCGCCGAACCTCGGGCCGACTCATCTGGGAACCACGCCGCGCCCCGCAGGCTGCAGGTGGCTGGGCCCGTTGATCTCCTTCTCGAAGATGTACTCCGCGTAGCCTGCCGCGGCTTTTCAAGGCCGCGGCGTCCATTGGTTTAAGAACCCTGATGGAGAAAAACGTATTCCCAGTAGTGATAGATTCCCTTTAAAACCAACAGGGGGAAAAAAACAAATCTTAAGCAAATGGAAGGCGCGGTAGGCTTGGGTTGCAAACATTCTTTGAGAGTGCCCCTTTTTGAGGCGGTTTGCGGGAAACCGAAGGAAAACCACCCTTTGAAGTAGTACAGGGAAAAGTTCGTATCGTTTGATTCTGTTTCTCCATATTGACCCCAGGTAGGGTTAATCGGAAATAGGTTTAAACATTCAACCCCTCAATCCTGCTTCGATGATCTGGGACTTGGTGTGCCATGGTCAAACCTCCGACTCTTTGGCCGATTAGGGTCGTGGTTCCCCTAAAATCCTTACGGGCGTGGATCCTTACGGGCGTGGATGTTTACCGTCTGAAAATATTTCAGTATTTGCGATGGGGGAATCGAATCCTTCTCAGGTTTCTTACGTGGCGCCATTTCTGGATGTCGCCTTGCCATTTTTTATAGGGTTTCTTCGGGTTCCCAGACGCGCCACTGGGGCGAGTCAAGGCTTTCGCGGCCTTTGTTGTCGCCGGAGATCAAATCATAGTCACCTGGGCGAGTCTGTCAAGAATCGAGGCGTTTGGGCGAGAGTGGGTGCAACTCACCCTACCCCCTACTCCAAATACCCACTTTGTTTAGGGTAGGGTTTAGGGTAGGGGGTTAAACAGATAACAAAATAACTCTCCTTACAAAATAACTCTCCTTACAAAATAACTCTCCTTACAAAATGATCCTTACAAAATAACTCTCCTTACAAAATAACTCTCCTTACAAAATAACTCTCCTTACAAAATAACTCTCCTTTCAAAATAACTCTCCTTACAAAATAACTCTCCTTTCAAAATAACTCTCCTTACAAAATAACTCTCCTTACAAAATAACTCTCCTTACAAAATAACTCTCCTTTCAAAATAACTGTCCTTACAAAATAACTCTCCTTACAAAATAACTCTCCTTACAAAATAACTCTCCTTTCAAAATCACTCGCTCCAACAAGACCGCCGTTTAGCCCAAGCGGCTCGTCATCGACACCGGGTGCACCGCGAACCAGTTGATGGTGCCCATTGGCTCGCCTGCGGGAAAAACAACTCGGCGGAAGCCTTTGTTTGGGAAGTCTTTTTTTAACTTTGCAAAGCGTCTTGTATAACCTTGACACTTTTTTTGGACCTTGAATGTTTTTTTTTGAACTGTGTGTTACTCGTTTTCAACCTTGCGGGCCCTGTGGGGGGGGGGGGCAATCGTAGCTGCCGTTTGGAAAGACATAGATGGGTGTCCCCAATAAATCCAACAAATGGTTCAATCCACTACCAGAAAAACTCATCTATTTTCCCAAGAAGGACACCCTGTGGATGGTTGCCAAATCCATTTCGACCAACTTTTCAGAAACCCTGGAATGATTGGATTCCCCAACGTAAATACCAACAACAATTCATTTCCTTTGCTTTCAAAAGTGGTGCAGGATTTCGTCCAAATGGATGGGTGTCCCTAAGAAATGGTGTCACAATTCTTTATAGCAGGCTAGCAAACTCGCTCGTTTTGGTTGTCCTTTCCGGCCTTGGTGTGCCCCTGCTCGGAATGATTTTGTTGATCGGCAAAATATTCGCCCTCCAAGCCAGCCAATGCTTTATGGGCCTACAACCAACCCCAAGCCAAGAGTAGGGTCCTACCATGGCACATGTGTGTTGGCGCCCTCTTTGAGGCAGAAGGGAAGGTCAGAAGGCGCATTCCTCATTACAAGAAAGCAAAACAAGATTATGCTTGCCGCTACCTCCAGCAACCGAAGCGGGAAGTCTTAAGATTGAGGAATCACCTGGGGGAAAAGAGCTGAAAAAGAATTTCCCCTTTCCATAAGAAAAGAGCATGATGAAGCCTGGGGGCTATTGCTGCCCCAACATCACTCGCATCCCCTGCATCCCCTGCATCCCCTGCATCCCCTGCATCCCCTGCATCCCCTGCATCCCCTGCATCCCCTGCATCCCCTGCATCCCCTGCATCCCCTGCATCCCCTGCATCCCCTGCATCCCCTGCATCCCCTGCATCCCCTGCATCCCCTGCATCCCCTGCATCCCCTGCACGCGTGGCAAGCATCTCCTGCATTTGCTGCATCATCTGCATCTCTAGATCCCGTCATCCTCTGCATCCCTGCATCCCAAGCAGACCCTGCTGACCCAACATCCCTGCACCCCTCACAGCCCCAAGCACCTCGAGGCTGTGCTAGCACTTGCCTCATACCCTCATTGCATCTCGCATCCCAACCAAACCATCCCTCGCATCCCCTGCATCACCAGCATCCTCTGCAACCCCCCGGCATGCGCCACATCCCACATACCCTGTCTCCCCGGCATCCCCCCACATTGGTTTGGGGATGGGCGGCACTCACAGTTCGTGTGCTTAAGTCTAGCTGGTAGGGTAATGTCAACCAGCACTAGCTGGGGTCATCCAGCCACGAACCAGCACTGTTGCTTGCTACTTGCAAGGGAATCACAGTGGATAGGCCGTGATTGAGGAAATGAGTCGATGTCAGGAATGATGCAGCACTTGAGTTGGCCTTCTTTTGGCAGCTTTCTCTGGCAACTTGCCTCCCTTTTGATGTCCACCTGACAAGGGTACCCTCAGCACAAGGAGTAGCCACTGCATTGGCCAATATTCCGTCCCAAAACTTCCCGGCCCAGAACCCTGCTGGGGGAGCACTCCACCAAAGGCGCCCTGCCGCCCAAAACTCATATGGCTGGTCCCGCCTGTTTCGGCATCCACGAACTTAAGGAGGTCCATGCTCCGATCCTAGCCGCACAAGGCACGGCCTTTTGCTTCCCCCCCATCCGCCTTGTCAAGGACGCGGGCGCATCCAGTTCAGGAGACAACCGTGTAGGGCCCAGCCCATCCTCGATGGTGCAGCCACTAGAAGGAGCAACAGACCCTAAAAGCACAAAAAAAAGAAGAAGGTGGAGCTGTGCCCTCAAGGAGAAAGAGTTCAAGGAGAATCCTCATTGACTCCAGAGCCTGCCAGGAACCTACCTAGAATCTCGCTGGAACCCTCCCAACCCCACAGCTGTTAGGTCTGTTAGCTTGCGGTGGCCCAAAGAAACAAAAACCTTCCACCTCCTCGCAAAAAGCCATCCACGTTTCAAAATGGGTTGCACCCTATAGGATGATGTCCTCGTGTCCGTTCAGCCGAGCAAAATCAGCCCAAAGAGTATTCTCAACAGCCCCGGAGCCTCCACCATGGGAAGGTTGATACCGTTCTGGTCGCCAATTGTCGCTGCGATGGCTCCCCTTGCTCTGACTCATCAGCGTGCATATATATATATATACACATACATACATATACGTATATACATTTATGTGTATATATATATATATATAAACTTCTGATGTTGGCAGTGGTCACGGCTACCTCAATAAGAACCCTTAACCTGGTTGCCTGAACTCCATGTACAAAGCTGTATGACCGTTGTGTGGGTCTGTTTAAGCGGAGAGTTTCCCTATTTTGAGACAGACCCACAAGCCCCGGACAAAGCAACTTGCTTCCCCAAGGGCAAGAAAAAGTTCCTGGTTTTGTGGGAAATTTGGGCTGGCCTCCAGGTCTCTTCACGCATATCCTACATACCCCCAACGTTTTTGTGAGGTCAGCAGGTGGTCGGAAGGCAACGCAACGACAGGAACACTCCAAACCACACCAACCGCCCCAAAGCGTCCACGTTGTCGTCCCCGAAGTACTTCGTCCTCTCCTCCTGTCCAGCTGACAGCTGAGCCGAGGCAAAGAAAATCCAAGCGAGCAGCGCCCAATTCCATTGACCTTTGGTTCTACCAAGATGGCTATAAAGGTTGATATAGGCCTTACTACAACCAGCGTCAAACAAGGTAGTAGAATCACCTACTAAAATGACCAACAGGGGTTTCGATTCATTGTTTCCTGACTAGGCCAGACTTAGACGCCTGCAAAGAGTTCACTTGTTGTTGGTTGTGGCATGGAAAATGAAAAAAAACAAGCCAAAAAGGCAACAAGTCAAAAACGGGGAGGGAAAGATCGACACTGCAAGGAGTCGCCCTTTGTTCGACTCAGACTTCGAGAAGAGTCGCCTGTCCCCTCATGGGCTTTTTCGGTCTTGTGGAAATGCTCTGGTGCAGTTCATGAGCGATCAAGCAGTACGGTTGAAGCCCTAAATATTGCAAGTGCGGAGCAGAAAACCAAAGGGCACGGTCCACTAAGGGAAGAACTGTGACATGATATCTGTGGCCCCCTTCCCCTGATACAATGTTGAACTTGCAATCTATTGGGCCTCGGAAGAAGGGTTACGCGCTTGGCTTCAACATTGTAACTGGGGGAGAGGGGTCCGCGCGCAGCGGGCGATGCCACAGAAATGGTGTCAACATGCGCCTTGGTGGCACTTGCAATATTTAGGGCTTCCACTGTACATCGACACCTCCAAGCAGGTCTTTTCCAATGAAACTATTCTTGGAGGTGGGAGTCACAATCCAACCCCGGAAAGTTTACTTAAACCTAGGAGCGCCGACCTCATGATTTGCGGCATTTCCGGGTCAGAGGCCCTAATAGCCAAGTGCTTGGACCCTACTCCTGGAGACCCTGGGAGAATTTGGTTCGCCCTCTCGTGCGCCTTGCGTGCCGTGCCGGGCCTTTCTTTGGGTCATTCGATCAACACCCTTTTTTTGAGAAGGGACCCAAACAAAGCCACTGATCTTTTTCGGGGGGGGGGGGTGGGGGTGGTGCAAATTCTAATGTTGAGACATAGCTATGTGGGTGGCTCCAGCGCAAAAAAGAGACACCGCCCTATAGTTCCCCCTTTTGATTCTTGACAAGACGAGCTTATTTTGTTGGGGTGATTTGGTGGAAACATGGGAATGAGTTGGAATGATCCCAAATGGTGCACTTTGATCTGATTCCTCAAAGGATACATTTGGGGCACGTCACAAATCTCTTGAAAAGACTGAGGTGCCAAACCTCCGCATACCACCTAGAGGAGACTCATCTAAAAGCGGCAGAAAGGTGATGACACAGTCTGCAAAGGGAAACAACATGCAAGCAGGGTTTCGTTGTTGACTGCCTGCAAATAGACTCAAGCCCCGGGGTTCCCTTGTAACATGACACACCCCTAGGTTCAAGTCATGGAGGTACGCAAAAAGTGGAACCAAATTCCGCAATTGCTGCGATTCCAAAACCTGATTCAACCGGATCCCCCAAAAAAAAAACTCTATCTTCGGGCTTTGGCCTGTTTCACCCCGGGATCGGTGGAATTGCTCGCCAAGCCTTTGGCAACTCTGATTTTTTTTGCAGCATCTAAAACTGAACAGACCCCAAAAACCCAAAGACCAGGGCCGTGGGGAATGGAATCCACTTCTGTGATACAACAGAAAGGGCCTAACCCCAAGACGAAATTTTCTTCATACGGGGGATTCCCAAAAGTATCACAGAAGTGGGGAAGGAGAAACCCCGAGTGATCAACCAAAAATATGCCAAAGACCCAACCACTTGATCCAAGAACAGTGAAGTTGAAGGAAGAGCGAGGGCCTTCGAAGCACCTTTTTCTGTGGCATCATGCATGTCTCCCCCTCCCATGAGAGGAAAATGGAATTACAACCTTACCCCTTAAAACTCCAAGGATTGGGGAAGTTTTCATCTTTTACAGACATTTTGCCCATGTTGCCCAAAAAGTTGAAAAGTTGTGTTTTTAAGAGGTAAGGAGTGGAAAATGGAACTACAACTGGAGATCTCTAGGGGTCACCCCCTCCCCAACGATGTCCATTCTCCATCGCGGTCCCCAGTACTTTACGAATGTCACCCCTCAAGTGGCAACTTCAAGAGAAGCGCCCCAGCAATCAAAGTGGGCCCAGACACGACCACCAACTTTAAACCAAGGCATCCTCCAAAAACACGCGAGCACCCATTCTCCCCTTGCTTGCTGCAACGCCCCTCTGCAAAAAGTACAGTACTTTCAAATGTAGAAAGGGATTTGTTCCATTTTGCACACCTTTAGTACGAAAAGGTATTTTCCTGCATATTTCTCTATGTTTCCACAGCGGTGTGTTTTTTTCACCTGACAAGTATCCCTTGTGAAGAGTGCCCCCAACGCCCCTCTGCAAAAAGTACTTCGCTTGTGGCTCCAATTTGAAAAGCCACAGAGGGTCAACCAACAAAAAGTGAAGTCCAAAGATCCGACGAGCCAAATGTTGACCTTAATCATTCATCAACCCCAACTTATTTCTAGGCTGTCCCTGGGTTCATCACTTTTGGAGCGGAACAAAACCCCCTATATTCATGAACTGGGGTTGATTGATATGTCTGACCCCTACCGCACCCCACCGCGAAAACCGCTCACACGCCCGCTCACCAAAACCGGATCCCGTCTGACCCCTACTGCACCAGACCCCGCGAAAACCGCTCACAACAAACTGGGATCCTTACATTATACTCCTGAACATTGCCTTGTGAATAGTGGTTTCACGTTATTTTGGTTTCACGTTGTTTTGGTGGAAAAAGCCATGCTTCAAATGGGCAAAATGGAGATCTTTGAAGGAGCCCTGAAAAAACGCTCGCCAAAACGTCGGCAATTTTGCGCTCGCGGAGTTTGCGCTGGATCGCAGGCCTCCGGGTTGTGCAGGAAGGAGGTGGGGCTCCGGTTCCGGGACGCGCAGTTCTGGGGGCACCCGGGCACCGTGCTGTTGTCCACCATGCCGCTGCCGGTGTAAATCTCGGCAGCTTGTGGATCGGTTTTTTGTTGGACCCTCGTCTCTTGCTCCAAACCTGTTTTCGGCAACATCCATTTGCTGAAGTCCCCTGGAAAAAATGAAAATATTTCCAGTTGTGATAGTGTCCCTTTAAAATATAAAATATGCTTATCCAAATGGAAGGCAGTCTAGACTTCGGAGGATTCGAGACTCATGAGCCGCCATCACCCATAGCACTTGATTCAAGGGGCAAAAGGAAATTTGCCTTGAGTCTCAAATCACACTCGAGTGATTCTGGCATGATTCTTAAGCTGAGAATTGCTCACTTCGATGCCACTGGTAGGCTCAGTTACTTGTGGAAGGTTCAAGGGTTTGTACGGAACAATTCAGTCACACCAAAGGCTAGCCATGCTTCAACTGGTTGATTGCCTGACTCGGCCCAAACTCTTTTGCTTGTCATCGAAGGATGCCCCAGGTGAATTTCTGCGCCGTTCCCCGAGAGAACCTGCTCAAAATCCCTACTGTGGATTGTTGCGAGATCCGTTCGCACCACCGTTCAGAATCCCTGGAATTCGATTTCGCGATGTGTATACCAACAAACAGAGGTTCCAACCACGGTTTCAAGGTGGTGCAAGGTGGTTTTCGTCCATCACAGTATGGGGGTTGGTCATAAAGCTTATCCTGCCCTCCCCCCTCCAGTTTTTGGTGGATCTTAGTGTAGGTTTTCAGTAGAGAGGTTAGAATGAGGATACCCTTTGTTCTGTAGTCTATTGTAGGGGAACCGAATCTCCCCCCAAAAAAGTCGGTGAGAGGTCGGGCACCGATCGCTGCGGGACCTAAAATGTCTTCCCCTTGAGGCCCTTGGCTGCCTTTAGCTTTGACTCTTTTCTTGGCCCCACTTTGGTCGTTCCCTCGCGAGCCAAACGCCGGGGTACGTGTGCCGGCTTCACATTGTTGTGCGCCAGCCAAACTGCCTCACAACGTTCGCGAGCTGCTGTGAATGGGAATGGACCAGAAGATCCCCTTAAAGGAAACCAAACCAAGGATGGTTTTTCTTGGGGTCGTTCCATTTCTCATTCCCTGCTGAGAATCAGCAAGTAATACTGTGAATGGAAAAGCATGAAAAATCCAGCAAACGCACCGCCGAAGTCAGAAACGCAAGGGTTTCTGATTCGAGTCCACTGGCAAATACCTTCAAACGTTATGGTTTCAACCCACTGTACAAGTCTCCCATCGCTGCGCTCACCAACCCGAAAGATGGCAGGACTCCTACACTTTCCAAATCATGCCATGGGCCACACTTCCGAAAGAGCAACCCCTGCACCCAACAACAAAAAAAACTGGATGATAAAAAATCAGGTTGCCATGTTTCAGTCGACACCAAAGGACCGAGGCACGGTGGAAGCTCAGAGGCCAACCACGTACCATTCCACGTGGTTAGGGCCATCTCATTGAGTGTGAGCACCATCTTCTACACAAACTGTGGATGGTTGCGAAATCCATTTCGCACCACCTAAGAAACCCTGGGAATGAATCGATTCTCCTGTAAATACCAACAAACAATGGTTTCTTGGGTGGTGCAGGATTTCGTCCATCCACAGTAGGCATCCTTTTAGGGGAAATAGATGGGTTTCCCTGGTAGATGACTAAACCACCAGGTAAACCAGTGGAACAGGTAAACCAGGAATCGCCATCTATTCTTCGACCAAAACAACCAAAAAGGACACCTATGGTTCTGCTGCTCGGGATGTCCCAAGAAAGATGGACCGCGACTGTATCAGGGAACTTCAACCCACCCCAACGCCTCCCCCCGCCCCCAACGCCTTAGTCAAGGCTTTACAAACCGCGCCTTTGGTGTCCCTTGGTCTAGTGGGAAATCCTCACTTTTGGAACACCCCCATAGTATTAAACTGGGGTCGACCACTAGAGGGTCAACATTAGGAAGCTTCTTTCTTTCCCGTACGTGTTGTTTGGGCCAATGCAAGCGGTCGGCTTCAAGAAAAAACAAGCGCCCAACCACCAGGCGGTGAAAAATGCCTAAACAAACAAAAGCTGAAAGGGAAACAAAGGACGAGGAAACCAAAGGACACGAAGGGAGAAGATGTAGGGAAATGACTGGCAATGAATGGGAAATATATGGAAAATGAAAATGGAATCCAAGAAACACTAACACAAGACAGCAAAACAAAACACGGAAACGAACAAACGGCTATGGGTCAAAACCCCGGTGCCCCGTTGAACACCAGTGGAGTGGTAACCATCCCCAAAAAGGCACCTAAACGGTTTTGACCCACAACCAAATAAACAACGACTCACAGCCACAACTCCAAATCCATATTATGCCCTCGGGCCGTGCCTCGCTGATTCCGTCCACCAGCGCTTGCAGGGACTGATCCACGTAGCCGAAGGAGGAAAACTGGAAGAGCATGTAAGCGCTGGCGCCTCAAGAAAAGCACAGCCCCCATTTCTTGGTTGACAAGTTAGGAAGGGAGAGCAAAAATTCAAATTTTAGCAGTTAAGTGGGGATTTCAACCACTGAACCACAATGAGCAAAAATGCAAAATGTTTCCCAACAACAACCAAATGACCCACCTAAAAAATAACCTGTTTGATTCACAGGGGTCTCCCTTTTGGGGGAGAACACCCCTCAAAAGGAGTGAGCCGCCCCATTGGCGCTTTGTGTTTTGTGTGGCTGCCATTGGATTTGTATGAGCGCATGAATTTGTTTTTGCCCCTCTCATCCCACTCATTGGTTTCAGTCGTTGTTGCGTCCCCCCCCCCCTCCCCAGCAAGTGTTCGCATTCGTTGCCTGCGGCTCATACTGAAGCTGGCGGTGAAGTCTTGGGGTAGGCAATTCAAGCTCAGGCAGCTCACATCAAACCCAGACCTCAGCAGAGTAGTTTCCTCTCTTGATTCAGTTTTCTGAAATAGGCGTAAAAGTATGTCCAGTAATTAGTGATCAAATCTTTGAAACCAACAAGAAAAAAGAACATATGCTTATTCTTATGAAATTTGAAGCAAAATATACCCCATGCACCCACGAGTATGGAACTAGCACTATGGCCCCAGGAAATCGCGGTGCTGTACATAATCGCACTCATGCGTTCTATACAAGCCTACGGCGCTGTCGCAGAACTTTTGAAACAGAGGCGCAAAGAGCTCAGAGCCAAATCTGGGCGCATAAACTCCCTATTGCGGGGCACATGACAAACAGTCAAGAAGGGTGTCAAATGGCCACGGCACATGTCCCAAAAAGGAACGGGATCGCAACTTGCAACACGGATGACCTACAAGCCAACTTGCCCACTCCAGCATTTTCCCAAACTTGAAAGCACGCAGCACAGCGGCGACGCCATCCCTAAATTGACCGACGAGCCCGGGCTCAGCATCAAACCCTTCGAGGATCAACCAAAAATTCCCGGCCAACAAGCACTAAAAGAAAACGTGCGCGTCAGCCAAGAAGCGCTGGAGGGAGTGGGTTGGGGCAGGTAAAGGCGGCTGTCGCTGGCGTGGCCCGGCTTCTTGCAGGTTTTCAAGCCGTGCTTTGCGCTTGGCTTAAGGCGGCTTGGCTAGGGCTGATTCAGCTTGGTTCGTGGGTGCGTTTGGCCCGTGCGGGCGGGGTGAGGATGGGAAAGGTTGGGTTGGGGCGGCTTCGTCTAAGGTGGGGCGAAAGGCTGGCTTCTGGGCTAGAAAATCTTTCAGAAGGCCGAAACAAAGTGAGGCGTCAGGGCGTTCCTGCAACTCAGTGAGTGAACATCGCCACCCTCACTCTCACAACCTGATTCTTACAGCTGCGGCGTAGCCCTTCAGTCCTAAAGCTGGCGCGTGGAGATGCAGTCAAGCCTTGACACTGGACAGGGGCATGGTGCGAGACCTCCCCCGTCTTTGTTTGTTGTGTTGGGTGGGTGTTTTTTGCGTAAATGCGTCCCAGGTCGTTGCTTTGTGTCATTGGTCGGGCGTCTTGCGGACGCGCGTTCGGCTTGTTTGCTCGTTGGCGCTCGCTTGTTCGTCTGCGCGTGCGTGTGCATGCGTGCTCTTGTTCTCCTCGGCCACGGAGTAATTGAAGGCGGAGGATTGGCTCTCCACAAAGAGCAAGCCAATGGTGCTATCGGTTCACAAACCTCTCACAAATGTCCAAGAGCGCAATGCAAGTTCAGGGTTGCTCTCCGAGTCACCGAAACCGTATGAATCAGCGGTGAGGGCCACCAAGCCCAAGAAACACTCCCAATACGCTGCAGCCACCGTGTCACTGATCTCTGCTGACAGTATGGGCACCGTGCGCAACGGCAGCAAAGGGTCGTTGTGGCGCTCCGGCCACGGCCAGAACTACAAGGGCAGGCGGCAGTCAACTTCCACCTCAGGTAAGGTCTTTGCAAAACACATTTAAGAGACTCACGTGACATTTTAGGTCTTACCAGCAAAGCTCAAGAAAACCCTAAACAAAAATGAAAGAATGCCCTTGCTCACCACGAGGGTCGCCTGCCTGTTCTCCCCTGCTGGAAGGAGTACATGTCCAGCCCAAAGCCGTGGTCCCACGCCTGGCCCGCATCCGCGTCGCTCGGATGGATTTCTCCACCCGGCAACACAGGCCTCGCACCACCCAGGCCCCAAGCCACTTGGCCGCCGCCCCCACCGGGCCAAACCCCCAGCCCTCACGTCAGGTCCGGAACCAATGTCCCACCCCTGACCTTTGGCTCCTGGCACAGAGCTGCTGCAGTGGCCCAGCCTCATCCGGCAGTTGCTAGCGCGAAAGCACCTGCTTGAGTTTGAGGCCAATCTGCGAGACCATGTCTCGCGCTGCACGTGCCTCCTCGTCGCGAAATGAGTTGGCCACCGCCTCAGCCATATCCTCGCTCTCCGACTCGCTAGCGAAGACGATTTGGCTGGGCATTGGCACAGAGAGGATGACACCGGCTTCGCGTGACAAAATTGGCCGCCGGCGCCGGCTAGTCACGGCTCTGCGTCGCCTCGAGCCTTTCAGCTGCCCCGTGATCTGCCTCTTCGCGTGGAAGCTGCTGTCCGGCTTCTTCAAGCAGACCTGTCAAGGTGCCTCCTGTCCTGCCGAAGCATGTCCGGCAAGCTGCCCTTGTCGTTGTCACGCACAAGGTGGTCCGCCTGCAGCGGGAAGCGCGGGCTACCCCCAGGACATGATTTCCTGAACGCTGTTCCCCTTGAGACGCCCTCCGTTTGCCACGAAATGGTTGGCCAAACCAGGATTTACGTCTACTCCTTATTGAGCGGGACAGATTCTTTGATGACCTGGCCGCCGGGCCCAAGGCGTAGGCCGCAGCAATCCAGCCTGTCATTGGCCCGGCATCCGGGCGGCGACTGCTTGGCTGTGGTTGGGCAATAGCTCGTTTGCCTGTCGACATGACTCACGGATTGCCTGCTTGCCGGATTGAAGCTTTAGTTGTTTGTTTGGCTGGCTGCTTGCTGGATCAGTTTGTTCATCGGTTCTTTGATGGACAGCGGCACATATGGATGGATGGGCAGGATCGAACGGTGGATTCGCTCGTTGGCTGGTTTGTTAGTTGGTGGGTTGGTGGGTTGGTGGGTTGGTGGGTTGGTAGATTGGTGGGTTGGTGGGTTGGTGGGTTGGTGGGTTGGTGGGTTGGTGGGTTTGTGGGTTGGTGGATTGGTGGGGTGGCTGGGCGGCTGGGCGGGTGGGCTGGTGGGCGGGTGGGGTGGGTTGTGGCACTTGTTGATGGACTAGTTGATTGGTTGGTTGGTCATTGCCAGGCCACGGCTATCGCAGCTTTGTGCTCCAGCATCTTGACACCTACTGTCGGTGGACGAAATCCAATTCGCACCACTTTGAAACCATGGTTGAACCATTTGTGTTGGCAATTTACAGGGGAATCGTGTCTTAGGTGGTGCGAAATACATTTCGTCCATCCACAGTATTACCTGCAAGAAGGTTGGCGAAAAAGACAAGGCAGAGCAAGCAAGCTTCGCAAAAACGTGCCAGGTCTCGGGCCCGCTTTTGGCGGCGCCACCTGCTTCTTCCCTTAACTCTCCACCAGGATTTTCCACGCGAGAGAGAGAGAGAGGATCGCGTCACCAGCATCACTTGCTAAGCACAGGCATTGCAAACACCAAACTGGGCGTCACAGCAGGCCGAATCGCAATCATTTTGTAAGTACGCAATTCCAGGAACTCGCAAGTGAGTTCCTGGACCACCAAACATCCCGTGTGACGGCGGCCCTTGGACGGCGATTCAGCCAAGACACCAGCAGGCCCGTGGTGCCTCGCGCGCGGGTGCGTGCAAGCCAAACATCTACAGGTTCTCAGCAGAAAATGAGGGAATGAGCCCTATATGGTTTCCTTTCAGGGAATCCCCAGGTTCATTCCCAAAACCATGGGTCATTTCCTACCTATCGCACCAGCAAGACAAGGAAGAAACAAACCCGGCGAAATAAGCCGTTCAAAACCATTGGACAGGGTTCCAACTACAACTCCCCCAACAATACTGAAACTCTTTGAAAGAAAACGTGTTTCCCGTTAAATGTTGGAAACCCTTCAGCCCCAAGCATCCGGACCCATTTTTGGGGGCAGCTCGTGTTGGGCTTGAAAAGTCGGGACTCTCAGGGAGTACCTCATTGGCGACAGCTGAGGTGCTTGCCGCGTTTGGCTTTGGACCATGAGGCGAGGTGGTTACCCCATGTGTCGGGCATTTAACGCCATTGGTTCGGAAGTACCCCGCAAATTGGTCGAATTTATGGTTGCTTGGCATCGAGTGGCTCCAATCTCCGTGTGCTTGCCATACCATAGGCACACTACACACAGTGTTCCAAGGATGACTGTCACGACAGCACCAATTGAGTGTTCCAGCATGGCAACAAACCACTGTTGTTTAACTCACATGGAACGGAACCCAGCAGAGAACTGACCCATTCTTAAAAGGATGAAGAACCGGTGGATTGCAACACGAAAGTTGGCACAAGCGTAGGTGTCCTTTTGGTAAAATAGATTGCGCTCGCAAATGAAATAGAAGTCTAAACCAGTGCCATCTGTTTCTAACCAAACTGACCTAAAAAGGACAATATGGCCACAAGTTTGCAGCAACCGGGAACTTGAGCGAGTGAGCAAAGCAAAGCAACCAGACCTGGAAATCGAGGCTGAACGCCTTTAGACGACTGATTGAAGCTGGGCCAAAACTAAAATGGAAAGCCAAAACGTCCAAAAAGGCGCTTTGAGCCAATTGGAATTCACCGCCTCCGAAACTCTTCGCAGGCCTCCTCACACTACTCCCCCTTTCAACCTAACCCCAAGTGAAGCTCGCGAAACGTCAGCAACCAAACAGTGGCGCATACCAAAGCAAGGGAAGATGTTCAGGCCATAGAACCGCAACGAAAACAGACACGTAGCCCCCCCCGGCTTTGTAACATACCCTGCAAATTCACAGAGTCCAACCAAAAAGGTGTTGTCTTCTCCGCAAAGCTTCGGTTCATAGACTCTCTTTGGTTCAGGTTTCTTGGCATCAGAGTGCCCGTTCCACACCCTAGTGACTTTTGGATGGCGCAAGGACGACCAACCTAAGGTCAACCCCAAAGCCCCTTCCATTACGGCGTCCGCCCTTCCAGAACCCCAACGAACCCCAAAGAACCCCAAAACCCAAGCGACCATCAAGAGACCCCCCCCCCTTTCTTCACTTTCTTGAGGCTAAGGAGCGTATGGGTTCCCGCCACGATGATGTTCCGGCGGCTGTAGTAGCGCCCTGCACCATCTCAGGACCCCGCGAAACGAAAAGGCCGACAGGTCGACAGGTCGGCCTGTGGCCTCTAAGGCGAGGGTGGGGTTCCCCCAACTTCACGTCTCTAGTGTCTCCCATAGGGAAAACGACACCAACGGAGATCTCCAGGACCTGAGAGCCTTCCCTCCAACCTAGGGGAGTCCACCCACCCATTTTCCCGCCAAGAGCAAGCCCCGGAAACGTGAACAGCAACGCGCCTTACGGACGGAAACGGCACCCTGAGCTTCGCACCTTAGAAGCGAAAAGCCCCAGAAGCTCACGCGGATCGATCTGGGGAACAGAATGCCACGGCTGGGGATTAGTCAGCTCTATGGCAAATAAGTGGCCGAAGAAGGCTACACCCTCCCGCCCCTACCCAACCAAGAGGCGCGCGCCTCCGAATGAAACCGCGTTTTTTGCAAAATGACGCAAAAGGTGATGTTTAGCGACTCTGGTCGAGAAAAAAATGAGCTGAAACTTCCGTTTGCTGATCTGAAGGGGCCCGGCGCGAAACCCACTGAACAACCACAACTTCTCCTTCTCCTTCTCCTTTGCTTTTTGGGGCCTTCTCCTTCTTTCCCCCTCCCCCCAATAAATCGCTGCGTCGAACAGACACTGTGCGCCATTGCAAAGGACAAAGGACAGTTACCCAACACCTCACGCCCAACGCCTCCCAACGTCCACAGGGGCCCGGTCTGGCTAGAATTGCACAAATGGTTCGTTAAAAAAAAAAAAAAAAAAAAAAAAAAAAAAAAAAAAAAAAAAACGGAACAAACTAAGGGATCAAAAGGACGCCTACACCTTGGGAGTCTTTCCGATCTTCTCTCTCCTTTTTGTTCGCCCTCCTTGCTCGGAGTTCTTACTTTTGGTATCCTGCATCTTGGAACCGTGTCGACACCAACCCCCCCCCCCCCTCCGCACAGACCGCCCCTCAAAATTCCCCCAACCTCCCTCCCCACCCCAACCCCACCTCTCCAAGGTTGGACCACCCCCCTCCCCACCCCCCCGACTCCCCACCCCCTCTCCAACGACCCCTCCCCAACGACCCCCCCCCCCCCCCGGAACCCCCGGCCCGACACACCGAGCCCACCCCAACCCCACCTCTCCAACCCCCCCGCTGCGACCCCCACCGCGCCTTGGAACCAAGTCAGCAACTTGCTCTCCACCCCTTGGATCACCGCCTCCGTGGCCGCCCAGGTGTCCGCATTCACCTCGCAGCTCGTTCGCGCGCGTGCGCGGGCGGGTGGCTCCCTCAAGAAAAAGGCGGCTTAAGGTCCCCACGAAACCCAGGGAGAAGCACACCGCCCTAGTACTAAGCTGGGGTTGAATCATATGGGGTCAACAATGCATGGATTTCAACCAACCCCCAAGACAGCCTGTAACGGTCCTGACTAGCTGGGTTTGACCCCCTCTTGGGCTACGACCCTCTTTTACAAGAACATTCCAACCCACGAAGTGTCCCCGAAAAGAAAAAAACACCAGGGTTCAGGTTCAGGGGCCCTTCTGGGAGTTAGCTGAATGGTTAACCCTGGAGGGGGACTCACAATGGGCTCAAAACAATGGCGGAGCCTCCCTATGCGGTTGACGAGTTGATGACAACCCCTCCTAGTTCAGGGGTCAAAAGACCATGGCACATCTGGTCATAAATCTTAATAGGGGACCATTTTTGAGGTGGATATCAGAATTCAGGGCCCCGATTCAAGTACCCACCAGCCACGGTGGTTCATTCCAACTCTTGAAACTCGGTTCGCATGTGTAGGGAACCACAAACAACCATCATCCACCACACAAATCCCCATGCAATTCGGTTCGCATGCGCAGGGAACCACCCATCCATGCAATCCATCCATGCCATCCATTCGCACGCGCGCATGGCGCAACCCCAAACCACACCCCGCGCAACTCCATGGCGAGCCGCAAAGGCCACGCGCTCCTCGGTGCTGGGATCTACGATCACGTAGGCGCGCGCGTGAAGCCCTCGGGACGGAGCCTCCCGACGCCTCCCAAGCCCCCGCCTCCCAAGGCCCCCCACTTCCGCCTGTTCCTCCAGATAAGGATGCTTTCTTTGACTTGATCTCATGAAAATTGATGGAAATTGAGGGAAAAACCGGTCCATCTTCAGACAGTATCTCTGATTTGAGTCCCGTTCCGGAGGCCCCGAACTGCACTCGGTGGAAAGTGTTGATCCAATTTTTGCACGACGGTGGCTTGGTATTGGGAGCAACCCTGGTCAGCATGAGGTGTGTGAGCGTATCTTTTTCTTGAGGCGACGTGTTTGTCGCTGCCGTTTTTGTTTGTTCCTCAAATGAAAGCCGAAAGGAATGCCTTTGTTTTTGCTGTTGTTTTTATTTTCTTTTTTGTTTGGGGGGGGAGGTCCCTAAAACAGGCACACCCGTATTACTGTCATAATTCTGTTGCGGGGTATCAAAGTCAGCTGCTTTGACCTACCACTTGGGTGACTTTGATTCAGCAAAACCATGAGGCTAGTATTACAAGTGGGGGCCTCGTCTTTTTTGGGGGACGCCCGCGCCCCCACAAAAAACGAAGGCCCCCCCCCCCCAGAAAAAAGAAAAGAAACAAAGCTTCGGTGTTCCTTGTGGTTTTCCTTTAAAACCACGAAAAAAGGAGAAGCATCAAAAACAGAACAACCCATATCCAAGCAGGAAGGATGTTCAGCCTGCACCTTCAGGTTTGAGGGATGGCCGTTTTGGCTCCTGAGATGTTTCGACACATCCTTCCCGAAAGGAATCAACGGTAGCCAGCGGATTTCCCCTTTCTTACTTCCCGAGAGGATCGGCCATCGCCCCCCTCCCCTCCCCGGTCCCTCCCAAATTGGTCATAGACAAATCAAACTATGTTGATCCTACCTCATACATGTGTCCATTTTGGAACGGTAAGTCTGGAGAAGAAACAAACAGAACCCCCCCCCAACCCAGATTCTCCCTCATGTGGACTAAGTTGTGAGCCGCATGTGTGTTAACTCGTTGTGTGGCTACCCTTTTGCAGGGTTGACCATCTCTACCAACTTGAACGGTTCGGTGCTCCCTTGCGAAAAAGGTATGCTTGAAGCAAAAGCAACATATCCCCAAACTCAAAAAGGTATGGGTATGACTTTCATTAGGGAACCTGTGGTGGACATCACTGAAAATTGGAAATTCATGCCCAACCACCGTAACTCTTAAAAATCAGTTCGCCGTATGAGCCATGGTCAAAGCTTCTTATATGGCCGATTGGGTCATTGTTCCCTTGACAGAAATCAAAATCGGCCATCCCAAGGCGCGACCCGGTTAACCCCAAGAAAAGGAACCGGTCTTTTGACCCACAGCACAGGTGCATAGGTGTCCTTGTAGTAAAATAGATGGCCCTGGTGAATGAAATACAGCCAATCTAAACCAATGCCATCTATTTCTAAGCAAACTAATCTAAAAGGACACCTATGCACAGGTGGCCTCAGCTCGCCTCATGGCCAAAACTGGTTGGAACCTAAGCGCGTGGCTCATGTGCACCCCGGCAGTGCGGTGCTCGTTGCTGGCGTAGCCCATCATGACCTCCGATCGATGGACCAGGGCGGCCAAAGACACAGTCCGAAGGTCCTCTAGCATGGATCCCTGGAACCCAAATTGGCAAGGGATCCTGTGCCACAAATATATATATATATATATGTATATATATATATATACGTATTTATTTATTCATTTATTTATGTATTTATTTATTTATTTATCTATTTATTTATTTATTTATTTAGTTAATTTATTTATTTATTTTTGCTATATATATATATATGTATATATATATATATATGTAGATACTCATATATCAGGCACATGCGATTCTCCTGCAGATTCACATGGAAACACGATCGGTTTCAAGACGGGCCCGGTGCAGATAACGTCGGAATCCGGCCAAAACCACCGATCGGTTGGGCTATCTACCAGAATCCATTTTGGGTCAACCTGGGGTTGACCATTTTTCTGGGTTGAGCTGGGTTAGATCCCAGAGTTTCAGCATCCAAATTGGGGGGTCAACCTGCATGTTGATGGGGGTGGGTTTCGGGGAATATCTCACTCCTTGTGCGATACCCAAGTTGCATTCCCAGCGCAATGACTACGGCATGCCTGTCCGTTCAAAGACCCCCTAACATGAGTCCGTCGAAAGCCCGATAAAAATAGATGACGCCGGTGATGATCATTTTCCAGTGTATGTGCTTTCAAAAGGACCTACTGTGGATGGACGAAATCCATTTCGCACCACCTAAGAAACCCTGAAAATGATGGGAAAAAACCCTCTAAACACCAACAAACCATCATTTCCCGTGGTTTCTAGGTGGCGCGAACGGATGTCGCAACCATCCACCGTAGGGTCGTTTTTTGGTTGCAGGCGGTTCGCAAGGCAGGCCCCCGCCTCCAGAACGAGGGGCCCTTGATCGAGAAACCTCTGATCGAAGGCGGCTCAGAAATCAAATACCCCCCCCCCAAACCCCGAGTTTGTGGAATAATTAATTCCCCATGCGTTCAAAAAAACAACAAAAAAACGGTTGACCTCAAAAAAGGAGACCTCAAAAAAAGCAGACAAGATCGGTTGATTCCTGGTCCGTTCTTTCTGACCATCGTGCTTTCCAAAAACCGGATCCGTTTTTTGCTGGGATTCCGGAGGTTTTTCTAGAAAGATTCGGATCCGTTGAAAGAATGGGGAAGGTACCCCTAGAATCATGTTGACTAATACGCGGGGTGGGGGCCCTGGGTTTGGTTGGAATCAGACCACTTCTGGAGGCGCCAAAAACCACCCGCTGATAAGCTTTGCTTGATTTGGGGTCAACATGAAGTGAACCAACCAATCAGCCGGTAATTCTTCAGTTCTTTTCGCCACCTCCACCGAAACGAAAGGCGCTGAGCACCTTGATAGAAAAAGCCCCCTTTTTCTGGGTGTGTATCTCAAGCAGGTGCTTTGCTTTTGTTTTCCCTCCAAACCTGAGGAAGGGTCAAAAAGGGGCACAATCATAATCATACTGTGGATTGTGGCGACAAATCCCACGACATCGCGCTCGAAAACAAACCAGTCAGGAGATAGCCTAAAGTCCTCTGAAATGCTGGGTGGCTGTTGGGTGGTGCGATTTCTGGATTTCGTCCATCCACACCAGGGCTGCGGGAAATGGAATCCACTGCTGTGATACAACCAAAAGGGCCTCCCGAAGACTAACCAGCCATGTAAAGAGGGGATTCCCGTGTATCACAGAAGTGGGGATAAACCCCTTGATCCCACAACCCGGATCCACACTATCTCCTGATAGGACCCCCCCACCAGCCCTTCTTTCGGCTCAAGGGGCCACTTCCGCGGCGGGCCCGGTACAGTCGGCGATGCCCACGCCCACGTGCCACCTCAACCGACACGAGAGCTGACAGTTGGACCGGGCATGGCAGTTGACGCTTGAGCAGAGAAAGGACAACTTGTCATGCTGTGCATGGACAAAATCCATTTTGCACCACCCAAGAAACCATGAGAAAAACCATTGTTTGTTGCTATTTACAGGGGAATCGTCATTCCCAAGGTTTCTTAGGTGGTGCAAAATTTCGTCCATCCACAGTGTGCAGGCTCTTTGGGCTCTGAGGCCTGCTGGGCTGCAATCTGATATACATATAAAGTTTATTAGATGCACGAAAGCGACTGTTGGGTTGACGGTGATATTCGACACTTCCACGTTGCAACCGTAGATGTCCTAGGGCAAATAGATGGGTTTTCCTGGTAGATGGTAAAACCACCCTGTAAACCAGGGCCATCCATTTTTCCACCAAAGCAACCAAAAAGGACACCTCCATGTTGCAACCGTTTGCGCGTGAGTGGGTAAATGGTCTAGGTCCTCCAGTGGAGAGGTTAAAACAAGCGTAAAAGGGCAGTACTGGGGGACCTAGTGATGAAAAACCCTCATTTGCTCGTCCCGCGCGCGAACCCCCCCCAATCAAGAGGAAACTCAGAGTGGCACACTACACATTTTTGGGGGTTCCAGATGGGTTCCATGGGTTGCTGTTGCAGATACTGGGCTTATTGAGCTGAGGTTGAAAATCGTTCGAGAAAATAGAAAAACTTTTGAAAAAATCGGGTGCCCAAACTTCAGCCTGTTGCCTCTTGCCTCATGGCCTTGCTGGCCATAATGTTGACCCAGGATTAATAAACCTGTCCCATCATTAGGGGGGTGTTCCCTCCAAAAGTGATAAACCCCCACCAAAAGGGGACACCCCCCTATTAATCAGCCAGGGAACTTTTTTAAATCCGGGGTTAACATTCTGCAACACAACCGCAAACACAAGGGCACCAGGCAACATCACTCGCCGCCCCACATGCTTCACTGGTCCTCTCCCCACGAGACATTTCACGCTGGCTAGAGTCTGCCCTCGCGTTCGGAACGACTGCATCACCCGGTTGCAACTGGATCATCCTCTGGCACTGGAGGTACGGGTGGCACCCCGCCACTCCACGCAAGGACCCCCACAGCTCAAATCTCTGCTGGAAGCCTATGTCCTTCGCCGCAGACCTCCAACGCAAGCGTGGAGCCGGCGACCCACCAAGCTCGTCGTGGCCATGTCCAGCCTTCCAACGACAAGGTCAACGGTGTCCTGCTGTCACTAGAAAACATGTATGCAACATGGCAATCAGATGCTAAACGTTGGCATTATTGAGACCACATTTGGCCTTTAACCTTAATTTGAGTTACTTGGCCACATTGGGCCTCAATCAAACTGCTTGCTGCAGAGGCAAAATGGTCTTCCAGAAGGGCCCATGTGTCAATTGCCAGGGTCAAAAACGGCAGATGGTCTTGGTTCACGGTCTAAAACCCCAAGGACTAGCCCAATTTGGCCCCCAGGATATCAAATGGCATACATGTAGTGTCCAAGAAGGAAAAACATCTACACGTTCATGGTGGCCTACAAGCAAAACTGGGCCAGCCCCTTTAAACATCTTCCAATATTGTTCGCCAAGTGGTTCCGTGATGCTGAAAGCTTAAACTCTTAGTGGGATACTGTGGATGAACGAAGGATGTTCGCACCACCTAACAAAAACATGGGAAACCCTTGGTTGTTTGGTATTTACAGGGGAATCATCATTCCAGGGTGGCTGAAAGGTGGTGCGAAATGGATTTCGTCCATCCACAGTGTGTCTGGGAAATGGTGTTTGCCTGTTGGTCTCACCTGAAAAATGAACCCTTGAAAGAGGACACCTTCGAAAAAACACAAACCCTCAAACCAACCTGAAAAGGGCACCTTCCAAGAAACGCAGACCCTCAAACCAACTTTAAAAAGGGCACCTTAAAAAATTGTTTATTAAAGAAAACACAAAATCACTTCGGCTTTGGGAGATGCTTGGCGTTCTTTGGAGCGCGCACACCGCAGCCGACGAATCATTTGGCCATGGGTCAAAATCCGTACCCCCAGTGAACATCCCAATCCCCACTAAATAGGTTCTAAAATGGGCGGTGCATAAATTAGACTAAAATGGGTGGTGAATTTCCCTACCCCATTTGATCCCAAAACGGTTTTGACCACCACGGCCATTTCCCCGCCCGAGGCCGCGGCGGCGTGTCCGCCAGCGCCAGGGCCGGCAGCAGCGCCAGCCTCGCGAAATGTTTTTTGGCATGCGGACAAGGGGCGCTGGCCTCACAAAGGACCCTCCGTGGCAGGGGGCAACTCAAAACCCAGTCTCAAAAATGAGGGGCAAGCTGCGAAATCAGGTCGTCATATGTACTGGGTGGGTGCTGCGCATCCCTGCAATTGACTGAATAGGAACCAGAAGTCGCAATCATAGATTCTCAACTTTGTGCCAAGCAAGGGCGGACTTTTCTACCTAGAAACAACAGTTGGACAAACGAACAAGCGGGGATACGGAGGGAGCGGGGATATGGGGATATGGATTTTGTTGGAATCTCATTTCCCAGATCAAACTTCGTCAGGGTGAATTCCGAGGAAATCCTCCCATGGTTCCCCCTGTATCCCTGCTAGTTGGTTTCCCTGATCGTACGGTGCTAAGTTCTAAGTTCTGAGGGTTCATGCGAAAACAAAGGGTCTACCCACACCCTAGGGTTCACCCCCCATTAAAAGAATGGCAAGGGCCCAATTTGGATGACAACAATCCTTAGGTAAACCATGGTGGTTCTATGAACTCCTTTTGTTTTAATGGTGGTTTGAACCCCAGGGCACGAAGTTGTCTACCAAAAAACAAGGTGTTACTTGGGTCTACCAAATAAAAATGCGCGAGTTCTAAATTGCAAGTTCTAGGCTTTGTAGTGATTGAATACCCGGACGGGGGTTGGGGCAGTGGAAACCCGGATGAAGGTTTCATGCCAAAACAAGCTCGTGGTTCCTTTACCCAGTATTCAGCACCAGCTAGTGGTGTTCTTTGGTTGGGCCCCCAGCATAGGTCACGGGTCTACCCAAACAGGGGTCTGCCCAAAAAAGGTGTTACTAGGGGTCTACCAAAACCAATACAAGTTCTAAGTTCTACGCGTTCTTGCTATGGAACGTCCCAATCCTTGGGATGCTAAACCAAACCCTTTCACTCCATTTACGGTAGGCAACCAAGGGAATTCCAAAAGGAAAATAATGCTGCTTGCATAGGTGACCTCTTGGAAAAACAAGAAAAAAGAAAAGAGGGAAGAAAAAGAGAGGGAAAAAAGGAGAAAAAAGAGAGGGAAAAAAAGAGAGGGGAAAAAAGAGAGGAGAAAAACAGACCAGAAAAAGAGAAAAAGAAAACCAACGGCCCTGGTGAATGGAACTGTTGCTCCTTTTGCGTCGCAGCCTAAGTCATGGCCTGGGAACCTCAGAGCCACGGAGCCCAGCTCCTGCGCCTCTGAATGGAACTTTCACCCAGTGGAACCGAACCAGGGCTTGAAATGGAACCCGCGGATCTGTGATACAAAAGGGCCTCCCAAAGACCACCCCCATTTAAGCAGGGGATTCCCGAAGATATCCCAGAAGTGGTTGGAGAAACCCCGGGTGATCCCACAAGACTGACAGTGGAACCCATCCACTTCTAAGCAAACCAACCAGAATCAAAAGGACACCTGTGGTTCATACCGTCTTCAGCACCCCACATTACCCTGCTTGATTTTGATCTGGGGTGGGGGGGGGGGGGGCCTTCTAGAAGGGATTCATCACATTCAGAGGCTTAGGACCCTCCTATTGACAGGACCAGTACATTTATCTTTGGTCAACATTACTCTCCTAGCCCATCGGCCACGTATACTACTTCTGCTTGCCACAAGGGCCAGTCCAGGCCCACAAGAGCGTGTTGCTGCTTTGAAGCAACCCTAAAGCCAGACGTTTGGCACCCGCGTTTCTCTCTCAGCTGCGTGCAGGAGAGTTCTCATGACCTCGAGACCGGTCGATGGCAACCGCGTTGTGGGGATTAAGAGACACCAGCCTTTTCAGAGGTGGGAGGTACTGTGGATGGACGAAATCCTGCACCACCTAAGAAACCCTGGAATGATTTGATTCCCCTATAAAACCAACAAACAATGGTTCCCCATGGCTTCAACGTGGTGCAGGATTTCGTCCATCCACAGCATCTCTTTTTTGGGGGACCCTCCAAAGTGGTGGCATACTTGTTTTTGGCTTTCGGGGTATTTCAAATTAGGAGAAGTCCCAGTTGCTTCCTTTTGGCTTCCCTTACAAACCACCAACAAATTGGGGTATTTGGGGGGGGGGGGGGGGGGATCCCCAAAGCACCTACTTGAGTCTTGGGGATAAAAATCTTGAGAAGGCCCATGTGCCGTGGGAAGAGTGAATCTCGGTCAGGCTCGGTTCCCGTTGTGGCTGTTTTAAAGGCAAACCACCAGGAAAACCGGTTCGCCATTTTCTGCGGTCAGAGCCAAAGGGAAACATACATCAGTGTGTCCAAAGGGAACCATGCGTGGTGAATTACATGTGTGTCTCACTTTTTCACCGACCTGTAACGGAAGTATTTTTAAGACAGACTTTGCGGATTCGTTTCTTTGGTGGTTAGGGCTTTCCCTTCTACCCTCCACAAGAACCGGGGTTCAAATGCAAATCCCCAAACCAATCCAAACCACCCCATTTACCCTCTACAGTCCAAACCACCCCATTTACCCTCCACAGCAACCAGGGGTTCAAGTCCCCGAACCAATCCAAACCCATTTCCCCTCTACAAGAGCCAGGGGCCCAAACTTGAAGCGGGAATAACCTGAATTTGGGCTCAGGATTCTCTGCGGTCGTTCTGAGCCTGCGAGCTCTGCGGGACCTTTGTCCAAAGGTCAAGGACAAATTGGCGCATGGGTGGCTCGTCTTCTTTGGAGTCGGTACCCCATGTTTGGTGTGTTTCAAAAGGGAAACCAAAAGGAAAACCACCATTTGTGGGAGTCCCCCTATTTTAACAAACCGACATACACCAGTCCCCCAATGCAATTCAGCTTGCAAGGTCCGAAAAGCGACGACGACTCCGTGCCAAATTCCTCTCAGGAGCTCTGCGAAAAAAACAACGCGGACAGGTTGCCGCGCTACCTTGCCTTTGAACGTCTGCGGGGAAGGTGCGACGGAACTCAGCACGGCTAGTGGTTGGCCACTTGGGGTTGTTATAAACCACAAACAATAGGATGAACTCGACTTCGGGGGAGGACTTGTACGTGGCTTATGACCCAACAAACTCGGTCGAACACCCAAGCAATGTTAAACGTCTTGGGAGTTGCTCAAAACATGGAACCTCCAAATCCTCAAAAAGGGGCGCCGTGTGTAAAGGGATTCAGATTGATATAAGGGGCCAAAGAATTAGAGTGCCCAACTGCCCTAAAGAATTAGCATCCCCTTGGTAGATTTGATTCTCGGCAGGCTTTTCACGGGAGCTGCGAACCATCAGGAGACTAGAACGAAGGAGGCACGACAAAGCAGGTTGCTTTGACTGGCCCCATTGTTTTACCATGTTCAAAGTCGCCCCCCAACCCAACCCCCACCACCAACCATTAAATCAATCGGCCTTCTTGCCCCTTAATAAGGCGTGTTACCACGTCGTCTGGCCAAACTGACCCCGCGAGCCACGTGATTCGCAAGTTGGGCACCCCCCAAAGATGGCTTCGGTTCACACAGGAGGCATACCGCGCAAACCAGAGAATCGAGGCACCCACTTAAAGTGTATGGTAGATGTGGCCATTTCGGGTGACTAAACCAAACCTCGGCTCACGAAGAAGAAAAAAAAACTGTTGGTGCTCAGCAGGGAATGAAAGCATGAGCCTTATAAACCATCCCTTGCGGTTTCCTTTAAGGGGACCCCTGGGTTCATTCCCACATTCCCCACCGAGCACCAGCAAGAACGCAGAACATGTCGTATGTGTCAAAAGCAGGCAACCAAAATAGGTTGCCCGGTCGGTAAATGGAAACCCGCAGTTGTTTGGTGCGGAACGACGTTTTGACGCATTCCCATATTATGGGTGTGCTTTTTTTGGCGGGTAACCATGTTTGTGGCGCAAAGGAAACCGACAAGGAACACCGAAATCCATGTTGGTGGGTTCTGATTTTCTGTTAGCCATAGTTCGTCTACCCCAGAAACAATTCTGCTTGCGGTGGATACCCTATGATGCCCTAAGCATTGCAAGTTTGGGGAACAAGGAAGCCATCTAATTTGACGTACTCTACCATGGTTTTGTGGTTGAGAACTTTCAATACTGTGGTTGGACGAAATCCTGCACCACCTCAGAACCCCTGGAATGATGACTCCCCTGTAAATACCAAGGTTCAAACAATAGCTTCCCATGGTTTCAAAGTGGCAGTATGGCAGGCGTGTCATCCGTACAAAATCACCCAACTGTGGTAGAGGGCAGGTGCTAAGGCCCCAAGACCAACTTTAATCAGAATAGGAGAACCCCATATGGAGGGATCCCCAATCTTGAGAAACACTCATTCTTAGGAGAACCCAATCATCGGATCAACCAATTGTGCAATGAATTTTAATTAAAGACCTTTTGGTGGACACCATTTAGCTGGGGGAAAAAATGTCCATCACTTGTGAAGTGGTTCCCTATTAAACTTCATGGCCATATTTGGCTGTGGCTCAAAAAACCGGAATTCCAAAATGGAACCCTGGCAAGTGGAAACATGGACCAAAGCCCGCGGTTTGCCCCTCCTCTTCTTTTTTTTTGAGCCACAGCCATTTTAATCACAAGTTCTTCCGATGCGCGCTCCGGATGGCACAGAACTTCACCGGATCAAATCGCCCGACTGCTCCTCTGCCAGCGCGAGCAGAGCCTTCAGCCGGCCCCGGTCCGCTGCGTAGGACAACGCCTCGAACTCGACGACCAATTCTTCCAACAATGTGGGAATGTGGAAATGAACCCAGGTTTTTTTAGGAATCCGCAAGGGATGGCTTGTAAGGGTCATGCTTATGTTTGTTGCCCGAATTTCCGACTCATTTTTTGAGACAAGGCCTGCCGGTTCACAGGGGCTGGGCCAGAAAAAGCCAAAGGCCATGAACACACGTCTATTGCCAAAGTGGATGTTGAGTGACCCTGCCCCCGTCGTGCCCAGGTTCAGATTGCGCGGGAGGCGCAATACTTTGGGAGCATTGCGCGCGGGCAGGCACAGTGGTTTCGTGGCACGTACAGCGCTTACGCGTTGAATGTCATGCCAGGCGCGCTGCCTCAGTGTGCGGAGAGTAAAGTATCGTCCAACATGTCTTTGGGGGATGTCTTTGCGAATTCCCCTGCTAAAAGTTTAACTTTTAGTGGTTCAATGGAACGCCCATTAGTTTGCAAAACGTGAAAGTCCTTACATCCAAGCAAAATGCACCAAAGGAGGGATGCCTTTGGGATGTGTTTGGAAGGTGTCTTGGCTGGGGGTGTTCTTTGCTGTTATCTTGGGTGCCTTTGGGAATAATGTCCCTCCATTTGGTTGAGACCCCCGGAAAAAAATAAATAAATAACAATAATAATAATAATAAATCACGTAGTGATAGATTCCATTCAAAACCAACAGAGGAAAAGAAACATATTCTTAAGCAAATGGAAGTGTCTTGGCGGTTGTCTTGGGCAACGTGTATCATGATTCGGGAAAGGTGTCTTGACGGGGTGTCTTTGAGGTGATCTCTTAAGGGCATGTCTTCGCAGGTGTCTTTGGGCTGCCTTTGAGGTTGTTTTGGGTGACTGTTCGGCGGATGACTCGCAGGGTGCCTTTGGAAGCTGTCTTGGCGCGACGTCTTCTTGGGAATGCCTTTAACTTGACTGCTATTGGGTTGGATCTTGAGACTTTAACTTTTTGGTTGAAATCAAGTTGGGTTTTCCACTGAACCCCCAAAAAGTGAGAAACTTTTTGCAGGGGGGTCGTTGCAGCAACCAAGTTCAGTGCTATGGGAATGTCCTTGGAGTGTCTTTACAGGACGCCTTCACTTGTCTTTTTTGCGCGTCTCGGGGAGCCTCACGGAGGACGCCGGTAGAGCAGATATGTTTCTCTGTTTTTGCAGGTTGTCTTTACTCGGTTGCTTGCTGCTCCCCTGGTAAAAGTGACTAACTTTTAGTAGTTTAACGGAAAACCCATTAGTTGGCAAAAGGTTAAAGTCCTAACATCCAAGCAACATGCACCAAAGTTTATATATGTCTTTGCAGGTGTGCTTGGGAAAGTCTTCGGGGTCGACCTTCGGATGTCTTGGGCATCTTTAAGCATGTGAATCATAGGTGGCTTTTTGGAAAAATAGATGGCCCTGGTAAATGGAATGCCATCTAGTAAATGCAATGCCATCTAAACCAGGGCCCTCAATTTTCTAAGCAAACCAACCGAAAAGGACACCTATGATGTAAATGGTGTGTTTGGTGGCTATCTCTGGATTTTGTAGGGCTGTGTCCTTGCAGTTTGTCTGTGGGATGTGTTGGGGACACGTTTGTGGCTTGATTTGTTGAGGATGTCGCTGGGCGCGTTTGCATCGGGGGACTGTCTTGGGCAAATTTCGTTTGATGCGCCTTAGGTCTCGCAACGCAATTTACGAAGAAGGGCAGCTAGAAACCCCGCCAAGAACGCGACTGCAAAGAGCAAGCACAGCAAGCATGCAAGCAGAGCACGCAAGTCAGATAGCAGCTTGCAAAAGGCTGTCGCAAAGAAGCAGTGCACGGAACAACCAAGATTGTTTGCCAGAAGGGCAAAGAGGAAATTTCAACCACAAGCGTTGATGCAATTTGTTCGTTGGCGACCAGGTGTTTCTACCTGTAGCATGCTTTAGTTTGTCTTCGCAGAAAATGAGTCTCACACATGCTGCTCAGAAATGTTTCCCCAAGAGCCGCGAAAGACACTACGACGGTATAGCTTTTGGCAAGTGATCTGCATTCGGGTGCGTGGCTTCTATCAGGTTTTCGTTTTGACAAAGGTTACTGGATTCCCCCCCTGAAAAGCGGCAACATGTCATGGTCGATTGCTCTAAAGCTGCAACTATGGGAAGGTCCAAAGAGGGAAGTTGAGGTTCGTCCGATCTAAGGAGCACCACGTCTTTCTCTGTTCGGCAAGCAGCTTCGGGCTTACACCCCACTGTTTTCGCAACGTCATAAAGGAAAAGAGCCGCATCCTGAGACTGAAAGCAGCCATGTGACAAGGGGGACCGGGAGCATTCAAGGATCCACTTGCCTGAGCTAGTTCTACTAGGCTGGTCCAGAGCCTGCTTTTTGTGGGCAAGTTGAGCTATCTTGCCTTGTCAGCTGTACTATCCGAAATATTGTCAGTCGCTCTTTGCGAGTGCGCCTCTTTGCGGTACCCCTCTTGATGCCTAAGTTTGAAAAACCCCATGGAAATGAGTCTGCCTCAAAATCGGAGGCCTTTTTGGATGGCTTGAAATGAGAACCAAAAGGACACCAACCAACTCCCAAAATCGGTTCAAAGGAAAAAAGGAGCACCTCCCAAGTGCAGCCGATCCGTGTGTCCGGAAGGACCATGCGAAAGAGATCCCCTCGTTTTGGGGGATCCCCTCCACTTGGTGCTTCAAAAAGCTGGAGGCAAACCCTTAAAACGCCCCAACAAAGATCTAAAATACCCGAAGATCTGGTGCGACAAGCCCATAAACAACTAGGTCCTCCAGCAGAGAGGTTAGAATAAGGGTACCAACTTTTTCTGTAGTCTATTTTAGTGGGTTGGAACCCCCCAAAAGAAACGGTAGAGCAGGGCACCTGGCTGGAGGACCTAAATCCCCTCCACTTGGGGCTTCAAAAAACTGAAGGCAAACCCTTAAAACGCCCCAACAAAGATCCAATTTTTCTGAGGATCTGTTGCACAAGTCAAAGTTCCAGATCTAAGCAAGTCAAAGATATAACACGTCAAAGTTCCACACCCAAAGTTCCTTTGGCCTAAACAAGTCAAAGTTCCAGTTGGGCCGCAGGCGGCATCCGGAGTTGAACCCAGTCCGCTCCTGGAGGAGGAGCTGATCACCCCCGCGCCGAAGGTCCTCTGAAAAAAGTCGAGTCGCAAACCAAGCCAAGCCTGGCTCCGAAACTTTTAGGTTGGAAATAGATGGGCTTGTTTCCCTGGTAGATGATGAAAAACCACCAGGTAAACTCTA